TTTATACACTCTCAGGTTTCCTGTACGTTCTGTACACTTCTGCATCTTTCTAGCCACGATGTGCTTTTAGCATCTCGTAAAATCTGGTAAATTTCATTCGAATTTTTTCTTTTTCGTAGAAGAGAGGAGGAGTACCAGAAAGTAGATTCTTGGTCTTCTTACGCTTTCAGGTTCCTCTGTATTTACACGGCTCACGAATTTACACAGTTAGTTGACTTTGATCTGTCCTTTTTTTTCTTTTCTTTTTATTCGAGTTTTTATCTTCGTCTATCTTGCCCTCTGTACGTATTTTCCACGTTACGGCTTTCTTTACACCTACGCGTACGCCTAAATTCCCAGAATGATTCAACAGAACGACATTAATTACTTTACCAAACGCCTATTTTAAGGTGTACCATCTTAGCTATTACTTTTTTTTTTTCCCCCTCGTTCGTTTCGTGTTCTCGCAGCTTTTAATCTCCTCGGAACGTGCCAACTTTGCCAAGAAAATTAGCTAGTGTTTTATTTGAATAAAAACGACCTTCTCTCGCCTCTGGAGTAATTTTAATTTCAGACTGAATAGATACCAAATATTACAATAAGTAATTATAATATGTAATTCTATAACACGAGAAAAAGTGTAAAAAAGCAGGATGCAAACAGAAGCACGTACAGCTATATAGACGTATAAAAGTACGTGCTAGATGCTAAATAAAGGAACGCAGAAACAGGAAGGATATGTCAAACAGGAAGAAATATGCACGCGCGCATAGGAAGAAGGAGGCAGAGATCTCGTTCCATAGTGACTGACAATCGTTGAAAGTTCGAACGTGGCCAGCCGTGTATCTCGCGATGTGTGTACGTGACGAGAAACCAGGCACGTGGCAAGAGCCCATAAAAAAAAAAAAAAAAAACATTGGGGATCGTTGCCGGTGTAATTCGCAGTCGAATACCGACCTTGGAGCGGGCAAAACTTTTTTTTAGCCTCCACCGTAATAAATCCGCCGCGTCCGGCGCTAAGTGTTTTCACGTTTGAACTGCTAATGAACTTCAGGCGAAATGCGAACGATGCAAAAAAGAACCGTGACGAAATAGCTTCAGTGATTCTTCTCCTCTTTTGAAGGAGAGTAGCCGTTTGCACATAGAAATCAATTCCGGTGTACGCTTTTTTATCGGTCGATAAAACAGTGACCGGTATTAATGGCATCGCGTAGATATCTCTCTCTCTGCGTAACGTTTACCGAGAACCGATCGATGTTTCTCGATGTTACGCGATATGATATTTTTATATAGAGCATAAAAGTTGTATAGATTTTATCGTGAATAGAAACGGCCACTCGGAGCCCTGGCTTAATTGCCAGCTGACGTAATCGTAATTTATTCATGGTTTATGTTAAACCGACCTATAAAAATCTTGTAGAGGGATTTTCACGGCGTGCGTGCTGCCTCGTTGAATTAGGTTTCATGTTTATTTACTTATTCATTTATTTGCTCGTAGATAGAGACAATTTATGATAGCTGACATAACTGACTCTCGATTAAAAAGAAAAGAAAAAGTATCTTATCTCGTAGTATCTTACAATATCGTTAAAAAAAAAGAAAAATAACGCAGTCTCTTGGTAAATTAACTACGCTTAACTATCCGTCAATGGATAAACCCAACGATATTCTATTCAATTATTTTTAATCGTCCCACCCTGTTAAACCATTTATCAAGGTATTCCTATATTTTCTATATTTTAGCGTGTTTTTTTTTTTCTCCACCGAGAATTACAGTCGAGTATCTGCATACAGATTAATGTTCCAGAATTGATCCCCATTTTCCTGGGGGCCAGCAACAGTTAATACAAAGAGTAGTCTGTGTTGCAATTCGCTCGACGTAGTTCGTGCTGTAATTTATGGTCCCTGAATATCGCCTTATGGCCCAACTTTTTAGAATGTCTTGTCTTTAATATATACCGAGTTTCTTTCACCAACGGTATCGTATTCCCTTCCGATATCGATTATACGAACAATATCAATTTTTTCGTGACAAGAATGCATTCATTCGTTCGTTACACATTATCGATATCGGCAATAAACGTCGCGTATAAAAAGAAATGTTTATTTCTGTACAGCGTTATAGCTTTCTGGATAGTGTTTCAATGATCATCGGTTATACTCGGAGAGTATAAGTTCACCGAATAGATTAATTTTACGATCGGCCACGATGATTATATGCTATTTGTTGTTGCCTCTATTGCATCTTCGAGTATCTTCGACATGCGTCCGGTTGTTCAGCATCGCATTAACGGTCGTTTCTATGCCATGTTCATTGCTGACTTCAAAGTGTTCCGACGCTCTTCATTCAACTTTCAGTGCACACGTAACGTAAATTTTCTCGGAAATTTTTATTTATTTTTTTTGCTGTCTCCTCCAGACGCCGGGGGACGTTAATCTTTTGTCGTGCTTTCGAATCTCCGAGGCTTTGCATACTTTGACAAACACGGCGGGGAATTTCATAGTGGAAATTCTCTATGTCATTTCTGACACTTATCGTGATGACGATTTATTATCATTATTAATAATAACGTGGAGCAGTGATTCCAATTTCTACTACAAAGTTACAGTATATGTAAGAACGATTGAAAATTAAAGATTAAATCAAGGATCAATGTAATGCAAGGATACATAGATTTTTTGTTTTTCGTAGAAAAGTAATAGCTTAATCGTTGACACGGCCAATGTGTTTTACATTATCGATTGGGATCAATAGTTTTGAAATATTATATCTGTATACTGTATAGGGTGTTTCATTTAAGTGAGGCTAGATCTAAATATCTTTCCGACATTTTTTAATTAAGATGAATGGTATTGAAAGACCAATAACCGTAATAATGGTAACCAAAGACCGTAAGAATTTTTTTTCTGAAGAAGTTTTTTCAAGGTTATTGATGTTTTATTTCTTGCAAATATATATATTGTATCGTTGGTAACAAAATACGGATTTAGATATGTAAAAAATATGACCTTTAGAAGATTCAAGTTCTACTTAAATGGATCATCCTGTATGTATACTTCATGGAAAGAAAAGTTTGTAATAGATAATGCAAATTTTCATACGATCTACTGATCAAGAAGGGAATATACAAAGCAATTGATGGATCGTTATTATGAATGACTCTGTCGCATCAATCAAGCAAATAAAAGCGAAGGAGACTCGATAAATTAAACTGTTAGAGTCGTATGATACTGTAATAAAGATTGACTTCGAGATCAATCATTGAGCTCAATCAATCAAGAATTTCGAGTATTTTTTCACGTGAATATCCACTATTCCCACTATAATTTTATAATTTATCTGGAGATTGTAACAATTTTCAAAGGATACGGTTCATAATAGGTGTATCTGGGCGCTTCGCGTAACATATGTACCAGTCCGTAGCAATCTCGCTCATAAAATAATGTCTGTGCTTATTCCAGACCAATGCTCTACATACCTTAGTATGTCTTGGCCTACTTTAATTGTACGTACTTAATGTAGAACGCCTCTGTGCGTGGCTCTCGAGATACCTGTTACTCCCACACTATCAAGAATTTTGTAATTTCGCTCCAGGCTGATTAAGACGTTTTCCTACATTCTCTAATCACTCGTCGAACACATTCGCATAATCATTGACCGTAAAAAACGTTGATGAATTCAATATGACGCAAAGCTAATTAAAGGAAAGTATATTCAAGGTAATTCCAAATGCATATTGTATTTATAATATAAATACAATTATATTATTTAGTATATATTATAGTATTAAATTTAAACATTATAAACAATTATAAATAGGATTATAATATAAATGCAAATATAACATAAATACATATTGTGTTTGTTATAGACATAATAAATAACAATTTGTTTGAATAATTTATTATAAATTATATTTATAAACATAAGTGCTAATAGTAGTACTCGTTAATTTATTAATAGCAGTTATACGTTTTTTATTTTTTATTTTTCTTTTTTAATGTTTCATATTCATGTTGAATATTCAATAAATTTCGCAGATGATAATTAATAATTTTTATCACTCCCGCTACTTTTAGATTGAAATCGCAGCACGACGCCGTTTCCTTCGAAGCTTTCGAATCTCGCAGATTTATTAGATTGAAATTCTATAAATTATCTCCGATAAATCTTGTAGTTTTGTTCGTTCGTCGAGGCGTGGAAATTATACCTTGTAACATGTGTATTTAAATTCAACGATAAATCTTTCCTTCCTAAGCTAAGAGACTAACCCAGAGCTTAACACTTGAATTATTTAATATTTAGACACGTGATAATTTTTCCAGATTTCTGCAAAAATTATATTTCACAGAGAAGTTCAGCCAACAATAAGGATAACAGATTCTCTGCTCTCAGAATCGGAAATTCCCTGATAAATTCACTGATGCAATTCACATTTGTAAATTGTTCGTATATTTGTTCCATTGCATGATGATATTCTTTATTTAATTATACTCACATTGTGAACGAAATTACGAATATCGCGAACAATTAAAGTGTCAATTTTATTAATTAAAATCTATTTCAACACGTTGCGCTTATGTGTAGAGACATCAGTCTGATATTTCGTCCGTTAATTTACGAAGTGCCGTTTATAACGCGCGTTCTGATTAAAAACAGGCCAGGAATTTTCGAACGCGTTTTCTCGATCGAACGAGAGACCGTGTTGCTGAAGCATATCTTCTTGCTCAAGTAACCCACATCGAACGCTTTCTCTGGGCGTGCAAGTTTCAAGAATTGTAACTCGAGAAGAAAGCATTCGTAAGATCTGTAACACCTGTCTATCATTATTCATTTATTAGTTTCTTTCTTTTCTTTTCCTTCGCTTCTCAAATATTGAATATTTTCAAACACAGCAAGAATCACCAGAACGGTTTTGCCGTTCGAAATCAAACGTGGTCAAAGTCCAGTTGTTCGAATTCGTTATTGTCACACGACGTAAAAGTCAACGAGTGAAGAAACACGGACTTATTTTTTGCAGTTGGCGGCATGAACCGGCCGTCCAAAGCTGTGACCCAAGCGAAGAAAGTGGCACCACCGGCTGTACCCGATGTATTTCGACATTCTGGCTCCTCGTTCGGTTCGGCTGGATATGCGAGCAGCGAAGATAGCTGTTTCCTGCCCGGAAGCGGACCAGGCGGAACAACGGACGAGGGTTCTTACGGAGTGCCATCTGGAAAGAGTCCGGGGCCTATTTTTACCCATCCCGGCTTTGCCTTTCCACCAGTCGTCGGCAAATATGCCCATGCCGAGGATCAAGGTGTGATCCTTATCGAATTACCGTCGAATTACCAGATCCAGATGGTATCGCTACATGCTCGCCATAATGTCATTTCCTTTTAACATTCTTTATCCACCCCTTCTATCAAACTCCTTGTGTTTACATGTTGATTTTTAGATCAACGGTTCCCAAAACCTTTTTCTCTCTCCCGTATTCCCCATCCTTCAAAAAAGTTTTTTTTTTTTTCTTTTTTAATTTTCATAGGTCAGCTAAATAATTAAATTAAAACTGCTCGAATTGATCTAATGACGTTTGTGTAGGCTTTTACTTTTGATTTTACATTTTTTTCAATTTATTTTCAATTTTTTATAATAGCGTAAGATCTAACGTAAGACGGCAAGACAAATAAAAACGGCACAACTTTCTCTTTGTAAATCAAAACTTTGTAATTTTGTTTTTGTGTTTTTATTTAACTCCTTTTTTTTTTTTTTGTTTTCGCGTACCTTTAACTGGTCCTCCCCCCAGGGGGTACGCGTACCTGATGTTGAGAACCGCTGTCCCAGATAAAATAATATAAAGTTATAAAAATATAAGAATATGGAAATATTGACATATGTATCAATGATTAACCTTCGGACTGTGAATGCTTATTATATAGCGCCGTGGCGCACGGTCATTTTGATCCGTCATGAACATTTCTTATTCGCATAAATTTCCAAGTTTTCAGTGCGAAATTTGTTGTCAGTTTCTTCACACTGTGTTAAAAACATTGTGCAATATTTTATAGAAACTTATTTATACGCAGTGTTGTGCGTATATAACCACAATTGTCTCCAAGATTGAAGAAATGCTCAAATGAGACAAACGTGCAATACTGTGTTTCAAGGATGAAATTTTAATAAATTTTTTTATTTAAAAAAAAATAATTCTAAAAAATTGTTACGTAAGAAAGTAAAATTTTAAAGGTAACAGTAAGATTCGATACGATTACCGATTAATTGCAAACTTTTCGAGCTGCAATTTGTTATGGTATTTAATCGAAAAGAAGTAGAGAACTAATTTTTATATACGTGTATCTTTTAGGAATCGATATGACTCAAAGTCCCGGAAGAGATAGCCCAGGTAGTTCAGGATCAGGCTCCGGCTCGAGGCATTCTACCGCTTCATTAGATTCTGGAAGAGCCTCCGGGTATCATTTGGGCCCCAGAGGACCTGGTGCTCTTGCTTCATCTCCCAGGTGTTCTATAAGCTCACTTGGCAGCCATCCCGACAGACCGGCGGATCTCGACGTCGTTCACGCTTGGTTGACTGAACTCCAATTCGAGGAATACTTGCCATTGTTTGCTTCTGCTGGCTATGATCTAGCTACTATAACGCGCATGACGCCAGAAGATTTGACAGCAATAGGTAAATCTGAATTTCAAACAAGTCTGGATATTTAAAATGTGCATTGATCATTTGATCATTAAATAAATTAATTAAATAAATGAAATTTGAATGAAGTTTTTTAATATTTCAATATCTTTGAACTAAAATTTTATGCATTCGAAAAGTTGGAATGATAAAAATAAATTTAAATTTTTATTTTTTTTTTTTTTTTTGAAGATTGCCATTTTTAAGTTCTTTTTCAAATAATCGATGATCATCTTGAGGGATCAGCATTGTGATATATATCGTCACGAGCCACAATGATTATTTCGAATATGCTACTTATTGAATTTTGTAATAGGGAAATTAATTCATTTGTATCTTTGATTATAAAAACTCGTATTTGAAACTCTATGGATTTGCAGGAATTAAGAAGCCTAATCATCGGAAACGCTTGAAAGCGGAAATAGATAATTTAAACATTGGAGATGGCTTGCCAGAGCATATTCCTGGCTCGTTAGAAGAGTGGCTCAGGCTTCTGCGACTCGAAGAATATCTCGGTGCTCTTCATCAACAGGGTATGCGTTCAGTTGAAGATGTAACGACTCTCACTTGGGAAGATCTCGAAGACATTGGCATCGTTCGTCTTGGTCATCAGAAAAAATTATTGTTAGCAATTAAAAGAGTTAAGGATATTCGTGCTGGCAAACGTATACAGCCGCTCGATCTTGCTCGGCTACCGCCGCATCCTGGACAAACACAGGTGAAGAATCAACACATTTCAACAATATAAAGTTATGAATGTTCAAGTTAGAAAAGTTACTAATGCAAGTGTAAAATTTAACGTTCAGTTCTTTTTTTTTTTTTATTTTTATTTTTATCCGCGTAAGAATCATACCTCTTCTTTAATATTTATAATTTGTAAATTTATGACCTAAAGACTAGTTTGGCAGACAAGTCGACTAAAATGTTTGTTTTGTTTTTTTTTTTTTTTTTTAGCGAATCCTATTGCAATTCCCCCTAAGCATGGCCGTGTTTCTAAATTTAATTTTTCCAAATTATATTTTCAGGACGTAGTTATTCAGCGAGGAGGTCCCGACTTGCCATCTCCTGACGAGGATTGTTCCTCGCCTGTTTTGAGGTCTTTTCAGAGGGGAGGAAGTGATACCACATCTGGAGGTGCATGGAGAAGTATGTACGCTGCTTTACCAGCCGATTACAATATTGTTGGTCGGTCTGGTTCACGAGGAAAATCATTAGAAAGCTTGGAAGACGCACCCCTTGGGTATCCTCCGTCGCCAGCACCTTCTACGCATCCACAGCCAGTCGAATGGCGTCCACGCAGCTTTGAAGACGGTGATCTGACTCCTACTAATGATACTTCCGTAGTGGATGCAGGTGGTGGAACTCTTCCACGACCAAGACATTGTCTTGTTCGTCCACGACCTGTAGCTAAGGTAATATATCGTAAACTACATAATTGGGATAAAATATTGGATAACGAAGACACGAAGGATCACGTAATCAATTAAATTGATTGCAGGTCACTGCAACTCCAGGGCAGTTCAAGTCACTACCGAGAGATTTTGATAACAAGTATCAATTAACTTACGGACTCGAAAGTAGTCCGCATCTTCCAAAACGTTGTCCTCCGTCTCCTCCGAGGCGTCAGAGCTCTAGAGATAATAGCGGTTCTGGAGTAGGAGTCGGAGGATCGGGAGTTGGCGATGTTGTGATAGATTGCAGCGGACCAGTTCCAACTGCTTCTTGCGAGGATCATCACATACATCATCATCAGCATCATCACTTGATTCATCATCCTTCTCCACCGCCACCAGCACCTGCACCAGTGCCATCAACTCCACCGCAAATAAATCGACCACCCTCTTCTATGTCTCGTTCTTGGGGCAGTGTCAGTGTTAATGTTAACGAAGAACATGAATTAATAGCGTCTCTTGCTCTGCAGCACCGTAACGGTTCTGATGCCAGTTTTAAGGTAATTCTATGTAATTTCAATTTTATATGACAGTAATGTATTATTATTGTGCGCGTTGTTCATAAAATTATTTATTTATGATTAATAAACGGCGGCTTAATAAAATCCATTGATGTTATATCTGGAAAATGAAGTATATAAACACAAGATTAGCTACATCTGACTAATTTTCAGACTTAGTCCCAAATCTGACATAATTCCTGAATTATGTATATTGGTTGTTAAATTGATTGTACACGTTTGTTAATGGATTATATATTAATATCAGTCGTATTTTTTCAGTCAAGTTCCAGTACAGAATCCGACTCGCTACCATTTGCAAATGAAAATGCCGGAACGATAAAACAAAGAGCTGCACGCGCACAAGAATACGCAAGCGGTAATACTGGCAACAACATGCCAAGTCATGGAATAAGCCATCATACTGGTGGGAGCGAACCAGCGGATGTATTGAACGACATTGGGAATATGCTTGCAAACCTTACTGACGAACTTGATGCTATGCTCGAGGAAGAAAAGCGTCAAGGCTTGAATTCATAATCATCGCTACGTTCGTTTGCGTCTGTTGTCATTTTTCTTTCTCTTTCTTAATTTTTTTTTTTTTTTAATTACTAGTGCTACCACGAAAAATGCAACTTTAGTAACAAAAATCAATGACGAAAACATAGATTTCTCACGCTATGACGTATTATATCGTAGATCATGAGCGCATACAGTTTGCAAGATTAAATAGACAAAGTCGTATGTGAATTTGGTGAATTGCAGCTTGATACATCGCAATGACCTTATTGAGAGGAAAGAATGTTCAGTGTTGGACGAATGTTAAACTACATGTTGGTTTACAACATAAGTTATATTACACAAACAATAATATCCTGTTATAATTGTATAAGTTAACGTAGTGGATTGTATTCTTCCACGGTATAATTTTGACTTTTATCTGTTTCTTCATTCCTTCTTTCTTTTTTTTTTTTTATAGAACAAAACTTCTTATTTTTCTATCAAAATATCATGAGCTTCTCACGAAGTTTCCAGAGACACCTGAATGTTGCACAATTTTTGCGATTTTTACATTTCTCTTTACAGTATTTTTATTCTGTATATTCAAAGAAAATTTTTTTTAGTACATTATATTCTGACGTTTGATATTTGCAGATTTTTGAACTTGCACTTTTAAATCAAATTTATGCAAGGAAAAAAAAAAATAAAGTTATACAAAGATAGTTGTATGAGAAAAAGTACGCTAAAATAAAATTGCACTTAATATATAAGGATAATGAATATTAATGCCTTATGATAAGAAGACTGCAAAATACATCAGTGTAGTCTAATTCTCAACACACATTTCACGCATTTTACATTCACATGGCGTAAAGACTGATTCTCTTTCTCTGGAAACTTCATTGCTACCAACATATGTACATTCCAGCTAGTATATTTCCTTTTCCACTTCCGTCCTTTGCTAAAACGATAGCATGTTAGATTGGGACCTTCATAACTGTTGGAACTGTTAGACATTTTGAGATTAGTATGATACAAAGAAGTAAACTTCTGGGTTGAACTTTACCGTCAAACCTTCAAACTTTTAGCACATTTGACGTGCTAAATACAAATAGTATATCTGTTTTTGACGGAAATTAAAAAAACTAACCGAAAATTTATAAAATTATTAAAATGGAATGCCAATTAGATACACTTTATGAGGTTTTCAAGTGGACCCGTATACTATGTACGAATAAAAATACAACAAAAATTGCTTTATAATTTATAAGATCACTTGTTTATTCATTTTGAATCTCGTTATAGGAATGAATCTCTTTCACATGTCGTCGTTCACTTCCTGAAGCGTTTTCATCTTTGGTTTATAAAGTATTATTTTGCGTCTAATATGATAAAATTCTGAGAACGCCAGGAATTTTCTTGTTAATTATCGACAGTAGCATAACTATTGACATTGATTCGGGTTAGATAAATCCCCGGCCAGTAGCATTTATCCTTGTTTCTCTGTATTTAGAATTCGACACATAAAATGTATGAATACAACGCGGCATGAATAATGTAATAAATCATTTTCATAAAGATTTTTGTGAATATCTCGGAGACGGGCAATATCCAGTAGAAACGGGAATATAACGTATTCAACACGTTAAAACGAACAGGACGACGTAAAATATGTGTTAAAAGTTTGGGGGACAACGTTGAAGTTCTACCAACTTTTGTATCTCTTTTCCAGAGTAAAATAATTCTTCCAGTAACGTCAAAGAAAAATATTATTGAGTCGTGTTGATTTGATGATGAAGCATAATTATATCTTTGACTATAATATGATACAATTTCTATAAGAGTTTACGAATAGTTTGTATGAAAAAATTTACATCTTCCATTCTTTGAACTTGAGAAGAGGTTCTCGCAAGACTGAGAACAAAATCAACATAAACATTTGACTGCCAATTAAATTTCAAGATTATACAGATTAAATACAGAATCATATGCACTGTATGCCAATTAACATTTTATATTTATTATCCGTACTAATATAGTGATGTATGTGTAACTCACTATTGTTATATGGTGCACAAAAACATGTGGAGTGCAAAGTATCCACGTGTATCAAATCAAAGTAATCGTCGTAGTGAAATCTTGTCGATAAAAAGTGTTCAGGTATAATCGAAATTTAAATATTATACCGATAGATTTGTGCATACAATTTTGTGCAACAGACCTCGTACACAGGGTAAGTCGTACAGTTGATTCAAGTTATATCTTGTATTTGATTGTATGACCTATCTTGTGCATGCATACACACATATACATTTATATATGATAATTCCAGATTCTTCATCAATTCGTGTATGACATATTTCTTAAATTTCAAGTATTTTAAAGTCTGTGATCTTATTTAAAACTTGTTACATACATTGTAAGTCTTTGTTCACATATCAGTAATTTTACATATACTTAAGTAAAAATTGAATTAAAATTTTAAAGATGTTTTTAATTTGTATAAATGGAACTTGGAATTTTCATATGTAAATAGCTACAGTTTCAGTGATGTTATTACTAATGAAATACTCCTTATTTTACATTCTTTAAGGAGTACAAATTGTTTTGTTTCTATAGAAATCAGTGAGTGAACATAAATTGCAATGAATTCAATGACCCTGTCATCGTTTTAATGTATTTTATTTTTAACTTTAATATACAATTCGTTATACATATTCAAATACAGTTATGCTCTATCATTACAGGAAAAGAAAATGTGGTAGGATATATACAAGATCTTCAAATACACTTAAAACCTAGGTTAATCAACTAAACATTGGGGCTACATTATTGTAGCCTGCAGACTTGTTAACTACTGTAGGTATATAGTAGGTATACATATATCAGTTTAAGCAGTGTACTTAGGGAAACTGTTTTGCGGTGCTGCAAATTTATCAATTTATTATTATTTACTTTTATTCTTTATTATTATCGTATACATTATAGATGGTTTTTTTAGTCGTATATATGAATAACGAAAGATGGCACAAACTCTTAATACATTTGTATTTGATGCAAATGTTTAATTTGCTGCTTAGTTCGGTTGAAACGTTTTAGATATTTTATTAATTACTAGAAACGTTTTTGAAATTGTTTCTATAAGTGTAATCATTTGTGCTACTCTATAAGGTACATCTGAAAGAAGAACCTTTTTTAATCTTCCAAGAATTAATCGAGATTCAATAATTTGTTTTATTTATATTAAATCATTTAAGTTTTAGATATAAAATTTTTAACATTGAAATTATAAATTGACTACAAAATCGTGAGTAGTCCGAGATCATTTAAAATAGGAAATATCACTTTACTTGAAAAAATTACTTTTACGATGATAATTAACATAAAATGATAAAAGCTAGATAATATCACGATGCAGGTATTAAACTAGATTAATTTGACCAGAAATGAAGTAACCAGTAAATGTTTGTAGGAAATGGAACATTTTATAATTGTGCGATCGTGTGATCAATTAACAGTAGTTGTTTCTACGATACATAAATTGACATAAATATAATAAAAGGTAATACACACACTGCCGACTTTTATACTGTAATTCAATTCCATAAAATCAAAAAATAAATAAAAAAAAAACTTTTAGATATTTATAATTTACGTGTAAAAGAAACACTCGAAGCATTAAATGTTTTTAATTATTTAATATTTATTTATTTCTAAATTGTAAAATATGTTTAAAAATTATTTTAAGTGAAACGTTATAAACGTTTAACTGTCACACAGAAGATATTGTACAATAACATACGAAACGATGTTTATTTAAACAAAAGTATTATTTAAATTTTGAGTATCAGTATAAGTAAAAAAAGAATATATATATACATAAATCAGACGCGTAAAATACGCTATCGAGGTATTTGCTTAAAATAACACATTCGAGTGATAAAATTGAGAAACTGTGTATTAGACTATGCTTCAAAGCAGTTCATGGCATTCTTAAAATAGCTGAAATGTATACCATTTACTATTCTAAGGCGATTCTCTTTTCATTTCTACAAATAGCTGATAGTAATTGATGAAATGTACTAAAAAGAATTCAATGATTGGCAGCTAATTCAGAATTCCTGAAGACATTGCTTCTACATGGTGTATACATATTATACATATATAAATATTATATAAATATAAATGATACAGGTATAAATATAAATATAGATATATAAATTATATTTGTATTTATATTTGTACCGAGTTAGTCATAGTTTTTGTACAAACGTATGCGTCGCTGCAGTTTTGTTCAGCGAATTTAATACCCGCCTAATTGCATTTTACGAGTCCTCGGGACCTCCTACTTTCTGTATTTGTTTAAATGCACGTTGAATACATTAATTGATTTATCAAATATGACGAAAGAGATAACTAAATAAAACTAATTGACAGAGACTCCATTCTTATTGTTTTTTAGTATATATACCCGAGATAATTGGTTGATCATCCTGTTACGTGAGATTTTCATTATCTAAGGAAACAGAGATTCTCATATTTTTATCGTAACATAAAACAGGATACATCATGGGTACCATCACCATTATCGTACATATATTATTTCACAGAGGACACTTGGATTAGGAAGAAATGGAGTAGGCTATATAGGAAATAATAAATATCGTTTGATTTTATTTTTATCATAGAATATGATTTTATAATTCTTAATCTTCTATAAAGCATAAGTTTTGATTGATTTATCTCTTAATTAGTAAAGGAAATATCGTTTCATTGTGATGCTATGAAAAATCAAATATTTTCTGCTGTGAAAAATTTGATTCTAAGCAAGATGGATAGTAATATAATTTTTATGAACTAAGAACTAAGTAATGTTACTTATAAGAGAGCGAGAGAAAAAGAGAGAGAGAGAGAGAGAGAGAGAGAGAGAAAGAGAGTAAAGAAGTCCATAAGACACAGATATACGTTGAACTTCCTCACTCTTAGGTGTTAAGTTTCCTTAAAAGATTTAGGTGCAAATTGTATATGCCATATTTGAGCAGTCATATGTTTGTGTAAACTGTAGCATCTTCAATATAAAAATCATTGAGCAATAGCAATTGCCAGTTTACATTTATTTCCCAATTGTTACACAGTTTGACGCGATGCTTAAACACATAGCTATAGTCGTATCAATTACATGTTTACATGAAGTATGAAAAAACGTAATAAAAAATTCCGATGGAAGGAACCGCTTACTAAAAAGAGAATTGAAAAGACCGACGGAATTGTCTTCATTTCGTTTAACACGTTGACTGCCTTGAGTGCGAAACGTACACGTTCTGTTTGCGGGACAAAATATTTTATTTTTACAAGATATTATATTGCAATAAAATACGACGGAAGCGTATTTTATCTAATTATTAGCGTATATTATCTATTATTAATTAATTAAAGTTCTTTGTTAATGATATTCGTCTCAATTTAATTATAAAACAAGTAAAATATTTGTAGAAGTAGATCGGCGACCGACCAACTAGTCAACGTGTTAATCCTATCGTCTTCTAAATTTATTTTTCCCAATCTTTTCCTCCAGTTTCGCAATCGGTGCATTTGTCTGAAAATTCAACAGCTCGATACAAAAGTTCACTCGCTTTCAAACGGATCCCGAAAGAGGATTGGTGCTCCCCGTCGGCGGGAGTTCGACTTTCAGCTGTACGAGTGCGCTGGCGAAGGTTCTGCACTTCGGACGGGACAAGTTGTACACCTTGTGCACCAGTGGAGCCGCTATCGCGGTTCGAGACGCGTCGTTTCTTGCGTGGCTCTTTGCGAGATCATGACATCACGTTTCTCGACCTATTTTTTTTCTTTTTTTTTTTCCTCTTTACAGACAGTAGTGTAAGTCGCGCGTGTGATAATTGCTAAACGTAATCGGACGTGGCTGGATTGTTCGAAAGGTAAATCAACTGGCGCGAGGTGTGATCGTGCGTAGATTTCGAGGCGGAGGAGTAGCTTCTTTCTACTCGACTGCCTTCCATACTGCTACATAGCTGCTACTGGTTACCACGAGATCGTTTCGTCCGGATGCTTTTTCCTCTTTCTCTCTCTCTCTCTCTTTCTCTCTCTTTCGAGCAAATCGTCAAGGCTCCCCCCAGTGATTTACAGTGATTTAAAAATCAGGATGAAGGATTCCTGATTCTCGCTGTGAAAGTGTTCGAATGTGTACTCTATTAGCTTCGAAAACTGTGTGTAATACGTGCGTACCGTCTACTTTTCTATCAATAACGCTTATCCCTTTGCTCGTGACCAAACGTTTATCCTCGAATATTCGCAGCATCCTCATTCGTCGAAGACAAGAAAGATAATTCTCGCCTTGAAACGTCACGGCCGATAATGCGAATAAATATGTACCTCGAAAAGATAGGTTTGGACAATTGTCAAAAGAAAATTTGTTAAAGATCTTCATTTTCGTTCTCTCTTACTCAACTTTGTTCTTTTTTTTTTTTTTATTAATATTCTCTGCTTAGTGTCGTGCATGCTTTCAATTGTAAATAAAATTAAAGCAAATAATATTTCATTAGTATCGGACTCTTAAATAATTTCGAACGAATGATTTTTACAAAGTACTCGGATCTCGTAAATAAACAAAAGTTTAAAAATGGCGCGTGAAGGCGGGAAACACACGAACGTTTGAAATTTTGTTGAGCGGCTGGAGGGGGGAGGGGGTTCAAGTTTTCGGCCTGCCGGTTGTCGGATCATGTGAATCATCGTGCGAAGACGTAGAAACACACGGGCGCGAGAAGTACCGTTTCTCAAAACGGTCGCGAGCGAGCGCGCGATGATAATTTGCAACGTAAACGTTCCCATACAGTTAGTTTCAGGTCAGTTACGAGTTTCATCGTCGACGCTCATCACGGAGAAAATGCGAGATTTATAGTACGGAAATATTTTTATGCTCGTGCGCAGCGTTAACGATATCGAGGTCGATTCGTTCTTCGCTCTACTCGCGGGGAACGAGTAGAAAACGAGAACAAAGCAATCCCTGTCGCAACTTTTTAGATTCAGCCTTACCGTTCGAATTAAATAAACATCATCCTCGATTTCTATAGATTATTCTTCTCAATCCTTTCAGTTTATATATATAACCCGTAGTACTAGGAATTGTGACTTCGAAATTTGAAAGAAAAAAAACAAATTGAATTTTCGATATTAATTCTTCAAACTGAAGATTGATAAATACAAATTGTATATGTAATGCTTTCAATGTTTTACAGTTGACGCAATGTAACATTATCTTATTTATAACTGCTGAGAACTAATATAATATCGAGAACTAATATAATATAGAAGAAAATCGTAAAACAAGAGATTGACCCTTTGAGTTATAACATTGAGTTACACACGTGGGCATGGTTTCGATTTGAAAGAAAAAGCCAATTGCTGGCAAATGTGAAATGAAATTTCATTGTACACTCTCGCATGCGAGTCGATATTCAGACAAATGGGAGGATACTTTTCAGCATTCACACGCTGGAACGCGTAAGAAGGAAAGACGATGAAACTCGTAAAAAAAAAGCATATATCTTCATTCACAGGTTTGAAACGCGCGACACGAAAAGGACAGGGAGAGCCGGAACCAAAATCGAATCTCGTGATCTCTTACTTAATGAAAAGGAACAAGAGCGGATCATTCCTGTCGCTTTCTCTCCGAGCTTTGTTACCGTGAAAAAGCTCTTTTCAACATTATGTCCCGAATGGTCTCCGTTCGAGAGAGCGTGCTTCGTGACCGAATATCCGAAGAATAGTGAAACAACAGGTGTCTACACGTTCTACGCGCCAAGTTGAGCGATAACGGGAATGAAAGTAACATTCTGTTCTATCGTCAGTGGATTACGATACTCGGACAATTGGAGAATCAGTTGAAACACAAGTTCGTTTCCTTTCTACGAAATTTGGTCGTCCGGTAGAAGACCAAAAGCAAGAAGAATTCTTAATCAAAGTGTGTGCACGTTCGAGTCGGAACACGTTCCGGGGAGAAAATAAAAGACATCTAGGGGGATCGGTATCGAAACACAAGTTAGAAGAGGACAAAGGCGTACGGAGTCGTGAGTTTTTTAGATACTGTCGGAGAGCGTCGCGAGCGGTGGGAAAAAAAGCACAGCACGAATGGAGAACGAAAGGCAAGCGAGGACACGAATAATTGAAGTTGAAAGCCAGGAGAGACGGGAAAGATGTCTGTAAAGCAAAGGCAACGGTAAAAACATAAAAGAACGCGTTTAAAATCCGTGCTAGTGTGTAGGATTGCTGGATTGCGAGGGGTTGGTGGGAAAAATTGATGGAGATGGTAGTGGTAGTGATAGAGAAGCGCGAAACACAGCTACGCGTACTAGTATGAAAAGCATAAAGGAGAAGCGGTAAATAGAGGATGAAAGAAAAAAAGAGAGTAGGATGAATGGAAAGAGAAATACGTAGTGTTCGAGTAGAGAAGAGTACTCGATCGAAACAGAGGAAAGAGAAAGGTGTATACAGTGAGAAAAAAAGGCACGTGGTGTTGTATGTGGTGGTAAGCGAGAACGAGGCGGGAACGTGGATGGAAAAAAAAGTAAGAAAAATAGGAACAGAAAGAAGAGAAGCGTGAACGGCGAAGTTTCGGATTAAAGTGTATGGGATAGTGAAGGAAGGTTGAAGAAGAAGAAAGAAGAAAGGAAGGCGCGTTACATCCTGGAGTTCGATGTTCAGAGTCGTACGATGGCCGGGGCTCTGTCCGAGAATGCCCCGAGGCCTGTCAGTGTCGTCGCGGTAGGCGGTGCAACCGTTGACAATGCGAGGAGTAACCAGATCAACAGACCGCAGGTACTTAACGTTATTCCTCGAGTTATGTACATATTTAACGTTATGCTCAAATGACTTTTTAATCCTTTCACGATCTTTCACTTGAGCATTCAAATTACGCGGAATTATTTCATTTGAAGTTCTTTATTTAAATGTCACTTATACTAATCGTTTATAATATTGTGTAAGGTAAAAGTTATCCATATATATATATATATACACACACATTCATAATTTTGAAAGTACTTATTGTACCACATCAATGCACCATTATGAAAGTATCGAATAACTCATTCCCAACAATTTATTAGCAGCCAGATTTTAAATTTGAAAGTGAAGAACAATCAAGATTTCTTTTCTTCTGCACGCAAGTGAAATTCTGGCTATAGAGGATTAAAGTTCCAATTTTCGTGATCTTTTTTTAAGTTGAATGTTTTACTAATATTCGTTATTTCCTTCGGTATATACACATATTTTCACTACGTTGAATATCCATTTCATGTGCCCGAGGAAGACACATGTTGCTGCTTTGGCAATGAGAATGTTCGTAAACAATTCAATAGAATTCTCGGCGCCAATACGTCTCGAAGGTTGGACAAGGATAGTTTCATTATTCTTTTCCAAGGAAGGCGACGAAAGAATAACACGGCGTTAATTTTTTCAGCGGAACAAACTTATTGTAGAAAAGATCATTGTAATAGTCACATTTTAGATCTAAAGTTTTATTCCAGTTTGTATGTGTATAGCATAGTATATTACTTGTATATAGTTTCAGAGCTAAAGTTTTATTTCAATTTGTATGTATATATGTATGTATTAAGTATTATTATATTATATAAATTGTGTAATGTAATATAATAATATTTAATAGATTGGTAAATAACACGTGTTGTAAAATGCAATATAATGATTATAAAAGTATACATTGAGAACTTTTATAACTTATTGAACTATATTATATTAATACTATAATACGTATTGTCAATAGTTGACATGATTTAAAGGCGTTTAAAAGGAAAATTGTTTCATGGGAAGTATCAGAATTGTATCATATTAGCTATAATGGCTATGTAGTAGATTAAATTAAAATTGCTCGCTTAAACGAAAATGAGTATAAGAATGAAAGACACATGATTGAAGTATAATTCCTAAAAATACGTCGACTCGGGAAATCGAAACCGAATAATTACAGTTACGAGTACGGTTATGGTTGCGGTTACGGTTACGGTTTTCAATACGCCAAACACGTCGTTTTGTTTCATCCAATTCAATTAGAGAAAGTACAAAGACTGATCAAATTAAAGAGAGTATAACGCATGACTATCGGCAAGAATTCGTAACTTGATATAACCTTCTTCGCGAAGTATTTCATTATTATAGAGAAATATCCATGACCAAAATTGAGGTTATGATTTTTTTCAATTATTACATACAAATATTATATATATAAATATATATATATATATTTTGTAACCACTAAAGGTTCGCAATCTGTTTTCTCTCTCGTTAGGCTTTTTATTTATGAATACTTCCTCCTCTAATAAACTTTTCCCATCCCTCAAAAATATTTGTTTTTTTAAATTTTCTTAGGTTAGCTAAATAATCAAACGACTTAAATCAATCTAATGACATTTGTAGGCTTTTATTTTTGATTTTACAATTTATTTCAATTTTAACAGTCTAACATAAGATCAAAATAAATAAGAACAGCATTAAAACAGCATAAGTCTTTTTTTGTGAATCAAAGCTCTATAACTTTGTTTTTGTATTATTATTTTAACTCCATTTTTGGTGTTTTCCGCCATTACCAATATTACTTTCACGTACTCCAGGTTGGGAACCGCTGCATTATACGAACAAAGTATTAAAAAATTTACAAAGAAAGAACTATGAAAATAAAAAGAGTTTGTGTCAGATGTCTTGATATTTACGTAGATGTATATGTATTTAAAAACTAGCGCGTTTCTTGTTAATGCACGCTGCAAGAGAAAACGATGATCTAGCTAACGATGTTTCAACAACCCGACCTCGAACGTACATATTCGAAGGAGAATTTATGCAACGTTTCAAACACCAGTTCGCCATTAGGTTCAGGAATGCAATTAATTATTCGTATTCTACGAATGCAGGCTAAGGAGTTTTTTTTATGCAATCGAGTATCGTAACCTGAATTACAAATTAATCTGAAGGAAAATGATATTGGTTCAGAAAGAGCGAATGTAACTATTACATGTATGACATAAAGGTGAAATGTATTCTCGTATTGTACGTAGCCTCGGTAAAAAGGATACAACGATGTTTAGGTTAGGTAACTGAAGGGTTTGAACATTGTAGATTCCAGTTGATTTAACCATAATTAGAGTCGTATGTATGCCGGACGCAGTACAAGCACGTTTATTACTCTGAATGGACTATAAGTGAAAACGTCTTGAATTTCAGGTTACGAACGTCGTTTGTAAATTGATATCTAAAGTTTGCATTGTTGTCTCACGCAACAATGTCACATTCAAATTGCTCTTTGCAATTCTACCAAACGTACAACTCAAACTAGACTCTGCATTCCATCTAATTCGATTCCTTTCATTGTCAGTTTTAATTTTCAGTCAATTTATTTACCCAACCTAAAACTAACCTATCTTGGACATTTTTTCGTTTCTCGCGAACTTCGTCGAAAAAAAAAACACATTGTACAAATTCTCGACATAGTTGAATCTCTTATTTAAATCGTTGCCCAAACCCAATAGTTTGCGAGATATTTCGCGAAATATGCCGTAATATTCCATTCCTCGACTTCCAATAATACGAACGATTGTGCCGATACATATCGAATATTTCTTCGTATATATTACTTTCCATTGCAGTATTATTGCGATCTCGACTATAAATTCCGCCTTGTTCCCTTGTTAATCGCATGTTTTTGTTTTTTTTTTTTTTTCATTCGCGCGGCGCTTATCACCGAAACGTGTATTTATCCAAATTACACCGTCGTTCGAGTTTAAACTTGACGTGTCGAAGTCGGGTCACGTGGTAGGTCCAGTTTTCCGCTTACAGTGGCGCCATTTCTTCAGGAAAAAAAAAAGAAGAACCACGATCTCATTACTCTCATTTAATTGCACGCACTTCGCATAACCATAAAATTCAAGATAGAAAACTTTATTGAGTAATAAATAAGCAATTTATTCGGAGAACAATAAACAACTCGTAATAACCAGTTAATTTATCTGTCTGAGTTAAAATGTTAGTGGATTAATCTTGCTCCGTTCTTTTTTTCATTTCTGACTTATGTTTTCATAGAATTCTACATTTCTATATTTGTTGTACTTATATTTTTTATCTTGCGTTTTCGTATATTTTCGTAAAATAAAAGACACGCCACTCAACTTAACCTAAACCTAACCTCAACTTACATTTCTTGTTAATACGCGTGACTTTTAGCTTTCTTGGAACATGATAAATCCTATTTGTTTGCTAAACCGAATGTAGGATTGAACTGTATCAAAGTTGGTAATAAAATAAATAGTTAATTCTGTCTAATAACATCACTCTGCATATCGTGTTTAAAAGGTTAAATGCGAGTGATTACGTAGCAAGCAATAAGGAACGGAAATCACGAAATCGTGATTAGAATGGGAGAGAACGCGCGAAAGTGCAGTTGGATATAGAATAGCAAAAGAAACAATTTCGAGTTCACCTCGCCTGTCACAAACGGGCAGAATGCCCGTATTATGTACACGGTGAAAATTCAGATTATTATCGTGTATTTCACACGGTCAATCGCGTTTTCCTTCTAATTAGTAGAGAAAAATGGATAATAGACCTGAAAATCTCTGTTCTTTTTCTTTTTTTTTTTCGTCTTCTCTTCCAGTAGAAAGTGACATTAAACAAGTTACAAAATGAACCGTAGAAATATAATGTATCATTTATAAGTACGAACAGTAATTAGTGTAGTTTTATTTCACTAAATGGATATTTATATATTTTAAATTGGAAATTTCATGTATTTTCATATACACACAATATACATTACGTGGAATATTCCTCGCGTTTTTAAATTTCACCATTCACAGTATATAATTACAGTTGTAATTGATGACTGCTTCCGCCATCGTTAATTACAACGTTCCTTCATTTTTAATTCAGCTCTGAATAATTACTTACATTTTCGATAAATTAAATTAATTCGTATGTACGTATAATATGAAAACATTTCTGCTAAATTTTCTAAAGTGAAACTACCATGAAAATTCTGAAAGTGAAGCTCGAATGATAGGAAAATGATGATCAATATTTTATATTTACAATTGAGGAGTAAAATTCGTGATACGTGTACGTGTAAAAGAGTTGAATTTTTCTGCGAAACTCGCAGGAATCGCGGGACAATGCTCGGTCTTTCACTTCAACGGAGGCGCAAACGGAACTCCCACTGCAAAGTGGTCCAGAGGCGCTGGAGGACCTCGACGGTGTTCGCAGTGCTCGTCGAAGAGAGAGGCGATTGCGGAGGCAACATCGTCGAGCCTTGAGATCATGCTCGATGCCACCATCTTATCCTGGAACATCGGCGGGATGTCAGGCTTCTTCCACAGCGCCGGGTGTACCGCTGGTCACTCCCACCAGGGGATTTCTGCATCTTCCACCGCCTCATCTGGGTCTCAGGGGCCTTAGTCTTGGACTACCGTTTCCGGTCTCTACCAGCGTGTCTGCTTTTGGCCGGTAAATACACCGAGTATATTTGCATAAATATATGACCGCTCATAGTCAACGTTAAATGAAGGACGCTTGTGCAAATTCATACAAGTTTAATACGATTATATGACGAATACTTTAATTCATAATATATTTAATAAAATTAACTTTTTTCTAGGTCAGGCATAAATAAAAATAAGCGAAATAAAAATTTGCGAACGGCCACAAAGTATTTCAACGAAGCACGTTTCTTACTGTGTTGTTAAAAAATAAATCTGAACAGAATTGCAAGTAGCGTTCGTGAATGATAATGAAAGTATTTATGACTAAAGATTGAGTGTTTAGACCAGAAAATGTTAAGAGTAATTGATATCGACCATAAGTTAAAAATAGATCAGTACAATAAGTAGAAACTTATCAGTAATCTATGAAGGGTTAAATGAACTCAACCAAAGATTATTCTTGTGTATTATTCTTAAAGATATTATCTTGTGTATTATACGTGCATTGTATGCATTTTATGCAAGTGCTCGTAATATATAATTTTGTAGAAACAACATAATATTTAGAGAACGGATTTCAGCTGTTTTGAAAGCAATCAGATTTTTGTATTATATATTAGTGGAACAGATAATGGATGGTCTACCGCCATTCGCGAATTCCTTTTGTACTTGCTTTTGTATAATGTACAATGAATCTCTGCGTAAACGCTTCTCGTATATGGCTTTGTGCACTCTGCTGTTCCATTACGAACGTTTCTTTTTGAAACGTTTTCAAGTATGTTCTTCGGTACTTGTCGCACCGAGCCTGATGCCGTTTTTACACTCGTACGGATTTTATAACGTTCCTTTGAACTGTGGATGTTCGTTCAACCTGTGCATTAAATCACATGTTGTAATCATCCTCAAGTTGTAAAGAATCATAAAAATATACTTTTTACTTTTGCAACTAAATCTTTTGTACGCATTATATCATATAGAACTAGACGATGTACACAGTCTGTCTAAAAAATAATACATTTCATTTAATAACGTTGCGTAAATGCTGTCTGCCAATTATGTGAATTCAGATATTACAAAATTATATTATAAAATTCTGAGTTCTTAAGATTTGTTCTATTTGTGGTTCCACATTATTTCTATATTTATAGATTTTACAAACTTGTTTTGATTTTTGTGCAATATTGAGATTACAAATATGTAAATTCCAGCATAGTAGCTGCCACTGTACTTTTATGTTCATTTGATGAATGAACTCAAACTATTAAAGCAAGTAAAAATAAATGTGCACAATTATTTGTAGAAGGCTTATTCTCAAAAGCTTTGTCTATGCTGAGTATTGCAATCCGAATTTGTAAATCCGTAGTTTCTATAGAGCTTTGGCTTCTTTATAGTTTAATGGTATTTATAGTTTATCATTTAGCTACATTTAGTTTTACTTCTCTATATTTATGTCGTGTTTTTCGTTTTTTTTTCGCACGAGTCTTATCGACATCCGCTAAATATATCACTAGTATCGTGGAATTATCCTACCAAACCAGATTGGATTCGATTCATGGCAATCAAGACATTCAGGTCCCACGATAGGATTAACCAGTTCTTACGACTGAAACTGAAAGAGTAACAGTTTAGATTTTAAAATTTATTGCTTTCACTGTCGTTCGTAATTTTTGACACTTAAGTTTTCAGAATTAGCAATAAAATCAACGCATCTAACCGGTTGAGCAAGACAACCTGTGTAACCTGTACTATAACTTCTGTAATATTAGATTGCTATAGTATTATATTGAGTTCTCTATATTACATTAGATATTAATATAATATAGAGAATATAATAGAGTAATAATATAATATAGAGAATATAATAGAGTAATAATATAATATAGAGAATATAATAGAGTAATAATATAATACAGAGAATATAATAGAGTAATAATATAATATAGAGAATATAATAGAGTAATAATATAATATAATATAGAGTAATAATATAATATAGAGATTATAACATTTTCAAGATTAGAATATACAAGATTCAATCACTGTCAGTATGATACATAAAAATTAGACACTATAGATCAGAGAGACAGAGATTTTTCAACTGAACGAAACAGTATTTCTGTTTTTCGCGCTTATACAGTAAATCCCATATTGAATACACAGTATCTTGCTTTCAGTTTCCAAGATTTTTTAGCAGTTTTGTTAACTGTTACGTGTTCAACGTGACACAACGTGTTTGAAAATTACGTCTGGAAAAACAAGAATATGCTTCTCCATTGTAGTATCCCCTGTACGTACTGTGGGTAATGTCTGACGCTCATAAGAAATCACTCCTTAAGTCGAGCATAGTAGAGAATCGACAAGCGTGTCGAGCGACTTGCCATCTTACCAGGAGTACGTGTCAGTGGGTCATTCCAACGGTTGGTTCTTGTCTTGCAGGGACGCAGTACCGAAGCAGTGTTGTGGCCTCGGTTCCCCTCCTGTGCGTTGGTCCATACTGGGTGTCGGCGTGGTGGGCCTGGTGTGCGCGGGTGCTGGTGCTCTGCTGGGGGCCCTCAGGGCTTCTGGCCGCGATCACATTGCTGTTGCGCTTCTCATGATCGGTAACAAATCGAATATCTCGCTTGATCAATTTTTACGCTTTTATATCCCTGAAAGATGAGTGAAGTTAAGATAATCCCTTCACGTCAGCAGTGAATTTATACACGTCTATTTTTTTATGCCATCTATGAGATCTGAAGTTTAGATTATTTCAGACAATTTTAAGAATTTGAAAGATTCTTACTTGAGTAAGAATTAAAGAGTAATTTCCGTTGAACATTTAAAACCATTTTGATGGTTCTGGTTATTGTTTTTGGTCATTAATTTCCAGAGGAATACTGGAAACTTTTGTTTCATATTTTTCATACTTTTTGGATATTTGTCGAGTGATTTCTATTGGACGCACACATTAAAATTAGTACAAAGGAAGTAGTATTTTACTCTTTACCTGCTTCAGCTAGTTTTTTTTTTTTTTTTCACAAAGTATGTACATCACCTTTTGGTAGAGAGCTGGTTCAATCAAAGAGAATGTACATACATTACCAGTGCAAAAGTTTAGTACCATTTTACATTCTTTCATTTTACATTCATTTGTATTCTACTTTCGTTTATATACCACTATTATTTTTTAGAGTATATGGTTACGGTTATTTATAATTTTCCGCGGCTGTTTCAATGTTACTTTCAGTGACATGCCTACACCAGTGACATGAAACAAAAACAGAACAAATTGTAACTTGTAAGAAAAATGATAGTACGTATTTTTGTTCTCTTTAATGTCATTGTTACTACACAATTGCTTTATCCGTCCACAGTGTGTTTCGCGTAGTCGTGTCACGCTGGTCTAAACCCGGTGTACAATTCTGAAGAAGGGCATTTGTCTCTCTCTCTCTCTCTCTCTCTCTCTCTCTCTCTCTCTCTCTCTCTCTCTCTCTCTCGGGGAATACACGGTCAAACAGAGGACTCCGGAAATCTTTCATCATTTTCCCAACTGTTATCTTCAAATCTCTTTTCAAATATGAAGATTGAATAGGCGCAGGAACATTTCCCAATAAAAAATATTGTTTACAATAGAGAAAAGTTCTCTTTGGGAATGAAGCGCATAAAAAGAATCGAGTATTATTGTTCCATTACGGAATATTCTCAATGATTTGCATAAGATGTCTGGAAGGAAGTTCATCTCGTGGTAAAAACAAAAGTGAATAGTTTCACGCGTATGATAAAAATGTTTGTTAAGCCGAAATATTGAGCAGTAATATTTGATAAAAGTAACACTCTGAAGTAAAATTTTCATAAGAACATGAAATTCGATGAATAATGATTTACTATAAAAGTATAAAAGAGTATTTCAAATAAAAATTGAATTGCGAAGTTCGTAACAATTAATGTTAATTTCTGTTTAAAGTATGTACGTCGAAAGAGCATTCAGTGAATAGAATTGAATTAATACCTTAGACCTTTCTGATCTCGATGGAACATTTACTGATTATGTCTATTAGAAAATTCGAGCTTTCACTTTAATTTAATCTCTCAAAGACAAACGTTACAAAGCAAATAGCGATACGAATGAAATAAGAGGGAAAAGCAGAGTGAAAAGCACCTTTGTACCAAATGCCGCCAGGTGTGCCAATATCTATAACTATCGCTGTACATCAAACATCCATTAGCTCGAAAAATACTTTAATTTCAATGTGTATTAATTGATCGATAACATTCGAGCAAACAAACTCCCTTCAATACCTCGTATATTTCATATTTTCATCACGAACGGAACTGCACATCTAACGAAATAAATAAATTTCGATGTGAATCGAAATCAAACTCGTTTAACGCTCGGAAAAAAATTAAACACGGAACGAATGATTAGTCAAGGAGGAAAAATGAAAAATAGAAAATGAAAGAATGAAGAAAAGAGAGAAAGAAAGAAAGAAAGAAATACGTTGAAGGGACACTGGGAGGATTGAAGGAAAAGAAGTTATGAAATACGGAGCAGCGGCAGTGAGAAAACCGCAATGGGGCCCGTTGCTCGGCCAGATCGGCCGATCGTGGCGCTATACGAAAGAAGGGAGAACCGTGCTGGCAACTGGTTACTTTCTAAACGTGGGCATGTAACCTGCGACCCGCATAGAATGCCTCTCACAATGGGGAGAACGCGCTAACCTACAGGGATCGTACGCCTACACGTGGAGGGACCGTGAGATTCACGGAACACAAAATTGAGAATTCTCCGGTTGAAACCGATCAACGAACCAACGATCCATTAGGCACCCGTTCGAACATCAAATTTTCGTTGCAATGAGATTTGTAAAAACGTGTCGTTCCATGGCGAGTTCGGTGAAGATTAACTTTTTGGAGAGGAAGGTTCTTGAAACTAATTTTAAAAGCTCTTTTTTTTTCAATCCATAGAAAACCAATTTTTTTAATATGGAGAATATTTTTAGAATAAAAGTTTTTAGAAAGAGCCTTTACATAAAAGTATTTGTTTCCCAATTCGCGGAAAGCCAACGTTCATAGGAAATTAATGAAAATATTTATACCTGTTGCGTATAATTATTTCAAGGAGAAAAGTCCAAACGAGAGTTGTTCAGAGAGAAGAAAATTGTCCATGGAATGTAAATTAGTTCAGGGAGAAAAGAAATGGTTGATGGAAAATCAATTAAAATATTAATATTATAACATGGACAAAGCTAATAAGTTATAATTATTATATACAATTAGTTAAAGAATCCTGTCTGGTATTTCTTTCAATTCTTTTACATGTATTTGAGCTATAATTGAATCTCAGAAGAACGTCAAAATCACGAAAGGCTAGCAATGGATAAAATACAGGCATGATATTTGAATGATTTAACCTGTCCAAAATTTAATATAAAAAGATATTCTGGATATCTCTAGATTTCCCCTTGTGAAAGTGTTGAACCAATTTCACACGATAATGCCCGGGCTATGAAGATAGATTGCTTACTTTCTTCGATTCAATGGCATTAACGAACCGTTAAATCCAATGGGTTTATTAAGTGGATATCGAGTCGTGCTGAATTTTTCGTGTTACGCGCCAACGCAACGACGTTTTCTCGCAACGTAGTGGAACTCGAAACCTGTCGGCTGTTTGCAAGAAGAAACTCGGTGAAGTTTGATAGATCATCGGGAGAATTTCCCAGAAACAAGATAAATATAGCCAACTTCACGCAGCTAATGTAGCTAACTTCAGTATTTATATATATAGCAAACTTCAAGCATTTATACGGATTTTCTTATTTCAAGCGCTTGGCATGCACGCTGTTGTCACATAAATTCTTCGATCGACACGTCGTTAAACTTCTCATACATGTTTTCGGTCATAAATCGATCACGAACGGTGTGACGCGGCGTGTGTGTCTAATTAAAAAAGCAAATGCCTGGAGGCTACGTACGTGAAAAGAAAAGAGAATTTAAAATGCAAATAAACCAAGAGAGGTTACGAGCAGAGCGCGGAACGAAGTCGAGCGGGGCGAAAGAAGATTACAGGATTCGGTTAGGAAATTACAAGGATTAAGAGACGAAAAGAGTGGAGATGTCGGTGGCCGCGAGAGAGAAGCGCGGATGGGTGTGGAATCGCGAAAGCTTGGATCCTCCGAGGAGGATATTTTCTTCAGCTCTCACTATTCTCTCGCGTGCCCCCGGCTCGTGAGAACACGCGACAATGCTTAACGATCGACGTCATCTTTACTCTGCCTGTCCGCTGCATTTCACTCGACTTTTCACTGGTTTATATCACAATTTCGCTAGATCGCTCGTTCTCTTAACGTTCTAACTCGTTTGCGGTTCGAGCCACGTTCATTTTAATCGTACTCGACAAACTAAATTATGCACGTATGATGAGTATTCTATTTTATTTATTTATCATAGTTATAAATAGTTATAAAAAGTTACCAGACTGGGTCTAGGTATGAAATTTGGTAACTGACGTATAGATTTTAAACGCAAGTCGAGAGGAACTGAATTTAACTTAGATAGTAATTAAATTTTCACTGCTAACGTTACTTTGCATTTGAGTGTGCAGTTTAACAAACATTTAACACTCGAAGGGAATTAAACGTATGTTTTGACACGGTGTGTCTCTGTTACAGGTATAGGAGTGGTTCTGGTAACCGTGAGCGCTGTAGCGTGGCGAGTGACCAGTCGAGAAAATTGTGGCAGTTTCTTTGGTTTCACAGGGATCTCGAGCAGGATCCCACCGGCGAGGCCAATTCATCCGTACGCCGCCATGATTTATCCGGAATTCCAATTTAGAACGCCACCGCCGAGTTATCAGGTGACACCCTAAAAATGTCTCTGCACCGGTTTGCACGCGTTCTGATCGATTTCCAACAGATGCTCTCTATATCTCCTCAAATGAGATTTATGTTAACCATTTCTGGTGGCACGTTCAACACCCCATCGTCTATTCGTTTTTCTATTTACATATCAGGAACGAACAGTAAGATCGAATATTTAAAAAGTCTATTGACGATTCTGCAAATTAATTTTTCGTCATAGTAAACGTAGAATATTAATATATACATGACTCTTAACACTTCAACAGTTTAATTATTTCTCTGTAGCATTTAATTTTCACATGAAACTAGTAAATACAAATATTTATGTAATATAAATTCTAATATGTTTATTCTAATATAAATATTTATGTAACTTCAGTCGAGCGTGCAGTACGGCTATTTATTTTAATATAAATGTTTATGCAATTTCAGGCGAGCATGCAAGAGTACAGGCTACGGCTGCTCCTTCTAGATCGACTGCAGCCAACGTCCTCGCCACCGCCGACCTACAGATCGAATGCTGGAAGCATTGTGACCCCCGGCACGACGAGAGAAAGCAGACCGCCGAGCTATTGCGCTAGATCAAACATCGCGTCGAACACGAATGTCACGCCGTCGAAGAAAGACGCGAATCTCGTCAGGATCGTTCAGACGGAATCGGAGCCGGTGATCCTAAGCGGCGATCAAACGCCTCCAGTGGCGGCTGTCGAGGTTCTCGCGCATCTCTGATTCATCCCCATCGTTTTTTTCTGTAATTATCGCTATTTATCGCTATTTAAGACGCTGTTGCAATTCGTTCAAAAGAAGGCGCCGCATCGAACGATTTCGCGAGAGGGAAATCATGTCTGTCGTGTGTGCAATACAATTGTTAGGTTGTTCCATAAGTAACGAGCCTTTTGAAAGACGTTCTTCAATATCAGTTTATTCTTTCTCAAAACATTAGCTTTCAACGATTTCACACATTTTAATGAAACACAGTTAAGTGTTCCCTTCCCTTTTTACGAAGTTGAAGTGCAATTCAGAAATATCGCCAATGCAATGGGAAATTACGAATATTAACATTGCAATATAACTTGTGGAATGATCTGATACGTCATTTGTGTTCATTTGTCGTTCTGTCGATAATAAAGAAGCGTTAGACGCTCTGTAGAGTTGCCAATGGTAGAGCAACGACTTTCTCTAAGAAAGGAGTTGTTTGTTAAAATATTTTGTGTCGCGCGGCTGCTGAAAGAGTCGTGCCATTTGCAGTCGTTGGCAAATTAGCGCTGCCTCCGATCGAAATCGAGTATTAACCATCCTTTTGGACTGCTGCTCGTTCAATATGAGGACAAATAGGGGAAGAGACAGCAGCACTGACGGAAGAAAGAAAGAATAAATATAAATATGGTTCGATCATGACGAAATATTTTTGCAAACGTTGATGAGATTAGATGATATCTAATGTCGAAGGATTTTAAACGATTGTATTATCAGATGAATGTTGTTTCGTTGTAACAAACGTTTTGAAGGGCGCGAGCAATTATATTGCTTTGATGCACGTTACAATGTATTTCGCCCAGAACTATGTGTATTTACGAGAAGATACAGGTTTTTGTTCATTCCGGATGATCAAGAAATTGTAACCATTGTAGAGATGTATTTATCCCGCGCAAGAAAGCCAATATTTCTTGGATTGTCGCTCTGTATATATATATAACGACGTTAAAATTTACTATTACCGTCGTATTTTCGACATTAGATTTGTAAAATACTCGCGTAAAATAGAGACTATGTATATTACGGAAGGATGCGTGAGATGAAACATGTTGATAATTTGTATTCTTAACGTGCCGGTAGAAATTTCGAAGGTCTTCCTCTTGTTACGATTACTCATGCCAGACTTCATGAGAAAGGAAAGTTTGAAGATTCGACGAAGTTATGAATTACTATATAATAGGCTTGTGATGTACTTGGAAATACATATTGTTCAAAGAAATTGCGGGATATTATAAAATGGTTTTGAGGTACATGCAAACTTCGTTAAAATTGTTCGATACACCGTGACGTTTCTGTAATTCGTGTTTTTTCTCGTTTTATCGGATTCTAAAATTGTTTTAACACGTGTATTTTTCAAGTCAGTTCATACAAATAGTAACATTGACGAGAATTTTAAACCTGCATGAATTTATCGAATTACCATGGAACATGGTGTATGAGTGACAAATAAATAAAGTAGCTTTAAAAATAACAGTGCTGCCGCAAGCTTTAACGCCATACGGTAATATTTACTACTCGCTTTATTATTACCGACTTCTGTCGACGACGCATCGATAAAAGTCGAAATGAAAAGAATCTTGTGAGTTGCATACAACAATATATACATATTTTTGTAATTATAATTTGATGGTTGAAAACAAGTATAACGCGCGTTATGATAGTGTCGGTTTTCATATGCAGTAATAAAATTGTTGACCCGTAACACTATAGCTGTTTGCTGTATTTCTCTAAGTGAAAATTGTTTCAATTGTCAATATAATTTCGACTTAAATACCAAAAATTTACATTTACACGTATCGAATATTGTAAAATACAAAAAAGGAATTACGATTTGTTGTTCAAACAATTAATGTCAAAGTATCTATTGATCATTATATTTTATAATTTTAACATATGATTTTTATTTCATTTTTTTTTTTTTTTATTAATGTTAGAAATTTAAAGTTAAAAGTCTCTTCATCATTTTTTATATCTCGTTGATAATATTTTTACATTTGATAATTTGAGCTATTACTTATAGTACGCGATCAATTTTTTATTATATGCATAAAACCGACAGATTTAAAATAGTAGATAGAGTTGTAAGAGTGGTAAATAGAAAGGCAAGAATTTCGAAAGGCGGCCTTAACCAAACTCGCAATGATTCGTGATATGAGAATAGATCAACTAAAAAGTCATCAATTGAATAAGTATATTGTTCCTTGATATTATTGTAGAGCAATTTGTATATATATATATAAATATATATATATATATATATATATATATACGAGAACAAATATATTTATCTGACTTATTTGATCTTCCTCGTGATTCTGTATCTCCATATTTTTTACAAAAGTCGTGAGTTGTGTGTTTGGCGTTCGCGAACGAACGAAACGTTCGGCAGTCATACGTATAAAAATGAATGTTCATTGTGTTTGTAACCCCTTACTAATAAATAATATAAATCACGATTTATCCTCTGTAGATCCGTTGCATATGAAAACAGTACTTTTAAATTCTACTTGTAACAACACTTACACGAGATATTGTAACTAACATATGAAATTTAGTAGCCTACATTAACCATTGTAAATTTGCAGACGTCATCATTAGTTTCGTTGTTTAGAAAATATTATGTGGTAAGGGGTTTTCTCTGAGTTTTTTCAATATGTGTAATTAGAATGAAATATACGTACTGTTGAAAAAGTGCTTTTAATCGATAAAAAGTCAGAAGATGTCGGAGTTATTTCTCGAGACAAAGATTATTTCAATTTATTCATACAAAAAAATACGAAAAATCACGCAGATGTACGTATATCTATATTATATTACTGTATCGAAGGAAAGAGACATACACAAAATTAAGTATTACATTTAAAGAATATAAAAGTAAAAACGTATACTTAATATTAGAAAGTGTTTTATTTCATCTGAATACCTAGCAAATCTTGTTTCTTTTCTTATTTTTTTTTTTACTACTTCATTACATTCGCTTTTATTACAATATTTGAAGTAATACCAGATTGCTTCTTTTTTCTTTCAATAAATACAATTTAAATGTTACCACAAATCCTTCAATTTGTAACTTTGAAATTTTGTAAAGGATAACGTGTGGAATAAAAGAATAAGATACAGAGATAGTACAATAAAGTAAATAAAACATTTATTGTACAATTGCATCATGATCTATACTATACTCTTTATATACAAAATTTAATTGTACACGCAAGTATGTATAACAATAATACCTGTTGGATGACCAACCAGGCCTGACAATATTAAGTCACAAGTCAGTAATAGTTTCAACAGTTATTCATAGACCAAATTCCGGTAGTTGGTCATCCACGCTACTTTCTCTCTCTCTTCGATTTACCATAGACAAAATTATAAAATGACGTGCTAAGAAGAGAAGGGCATTCTTTTCCATCAAGCAGACCCTGTATCATCCTTGACCATAGTCACAGATAAAGTATATGAATAGACATTGCCATAGATGAGATATATAGAGAATTTTGCACATTCTAAACTGGACTGTAGGTTGCATAATTCTGAGCTTGATATCGTTCTGCAAAGATTAATGTTTGGAAAACGATATCAATTACCAGGTCTTACCACAAGGAGGAAACTCGTGGCGAGGACCCTAATTCCATACTTCCTCCATTACATGCAAGTTTTGGTATTCAACTTAATGAATATCCAGTTCTTATTCTACTTGGTCCTGGATTTTGTAAAAATGAAATGCAATGAGACACAAGTCAATACAAAAATATATTTATTGTACATTTGTATCAGGAGTCTGGCCACACTATACTTTCTATCCACGAAATATAATTATACACGCGGGTATACACACCGGGAACATTCCCACCGCAAACTATTCCGAAGCTTGTTACACCGATTAAGTTATACATGCAGTAGTAATCGGGATTGAAGATGCTGAGAGGCCCTCCACTGTCACCCTAAGCACAAAATAAATATTTAATTATTGAACTAAATTACTGTATTAATTATATTTTAATTACTAAGTATTAAATTAATAAATAATATTAATATTGGAACTATCGATTAATGGAAAATGAACACAAGCTGTTGGGAAAAATCATTTAAATCTCTAAAGACACATCTGTGAAATATCTGACAGAAATTATAAATTGATCATTTTGACATTTTGGGAGTCTGAGAGTTAAAAATAACAATGCATAATAACAATATTGGACAATATTTTTATAAATAATATTAAAATTATAATGAAACACATACAAGTAGACAGTTGATGTTTGTGCATTTATGAGAAATTAACATGAATACACATATGGCATAATAGAAATATAATGAAAATAAATATTTCCAATGTACTATCTAGAATCACCAATTGCAATTATTATCATATTGCAATTTTATGTTTTCTTTTAAGAATGCACACAAATATTTAAATTTGCATAAATATTAAACAATATTATAATATATAAATTATAACAATATTATGTTATAATAATAAATAATATACAATATTGCATCGTTACCTGACAAGTATCCTTTCCGTTTTCACCAGCGCAAATTTGCCACTCGTCTACGATCCCACGTGGCAACTTATTGTCATATCCGTAAGATCTATTGCAGGTCGAGTGGGATACCAAGTTAATCGTTACTTTCAACAAATTGTTCGTTGGATCGCCAACTAGAAAACGAACGAAAGATTGAAATTAAAAATCATATGTTATTTTACCACAGCCTTTAATAGTAATAATAATATGACGAAGAATTCATTCATATACTATATATTTATAATCGTAATAAATATTTATTATTATATATTTATAATCGTAATAAAATAACGAAGAATTTAGAATGATTTGCAGAATGATAATTTAAGTAAAAGTAGAAAAAAAAGTAAAGAAAGATCCATCCTTTGTTCATCGTATAGCACTTACGATATTCATCGGCTCCCCATCCGGTCGCAGTTGCTTTACCATCGGTATCAACATCCGGCGAGGAATACGGCAAGCAACTGGGCCTTATGTAGGCGTTAAATTTTACGTCTTTTTCTAATTTGAAAAGCGCGATATCGTGGTACGAGTATCGGATGCTGTACTTAGGGTGCCTTATTCGTTGAACAATTTGAAGATCTTGCGGTCTCGCATCGTCGTCCGTTCTTTTGAGATTCAAATCGCCTAATCGTACCCAATTTGCTTTGCCCCTGCAAAGAATTTCACTCCGAGGTAATTAATTAGACTACGAACTCTTTCTGAACCTAATCTACTTCTTTTTTTCTTTTTGTCCACTGTATGTGTTGTTCAGAACATGCTGTCGATGGTGTGAAAAGGCAACATATCCTTTTCTCTCCTTTATAATAATGAATAATTTCTTTAGATTTGGATAATTTGCACTATCATTTCAAAAATGACGATCGATCGCACGTCCTTGCTTATATCCTTGAAAACAAAAACCGAAGCATGTCACACCGAACATTTGAGATACAAATGAATCAAACATTCTTCATTCACGCTGTGAATCAGCGTGACACAAAACTCTGTGCTTTCTTCGTGATTCGAAATTCTCGATACTCTCGAGATGAGAAAAATGAATAATGAAGGATCGTTTACAACAGAGCTGGCTAACTGGCGGCCCGCGAATCCTTTCCTGATCGCTAGCGCTTCTTCCTCCATTTCTATTTGCTTACAGTTAGTGGAGAAATCAACATATTGAGAGAGTAGGGGCTCATGCGCAGTGAGGAAATTTCAATGTAGTGGGGAGATCGATGCTGTGGAGGGGGTAGCGCTAGAAAAGTGGGGGAAAGGACTCGCGAGCCACCAATTAGCCAACTCTAACTGCGAACGATCCTTTATTATTCATTTATTTTATATTTTTCTCATATTGAGAGTTCTCTAAATTCTTCAACTGAAAGGATTTCGAGGGGTCTCGAGGTTTCGAGTAACCCGTCGCTACAAATAAGAAGAGAAAGCCAATGAGCATTTATATATCATCCGTTGTTCGGATAAACGAGGTAAAGTTCGAGTTCGAGTTCGAGTTCAAAGTTCTTACCATACGATGCTGGAGGCGCAGTGCGCGGCGGATAAAACGAATCTTTCGGAGATTAACGTGCCACCGCATTGCCAGACGACACCGTCCCTGCTGTCATAACCGATCGCAGCCATTTGCGGGAATTCCTTTGGATCGGCATCCGTACCACCGACGATCAGCTTGCGAGTCTTAATCCCGCATAAAGACACGTTCACCAGCAGCTTCCGGTCAGAAGTGGAGCCTATCAGAATTGGAGCCTGTACGAGCGTGAACACGGATTTGGCATACTCCTCGCATTCTGAAAAATGCGACACGAATTTTCGAAAACGGAACTCAAACAAATGAAATTTTACTCCAAGAGAGTTGAGAAATTTTTAGAGAATACCTACTCGCTCTTGCTTTGGCTCCTGTGCGATTAAACGATGGTCGATCATCGATGTTTGGAGAAGTTGTTGTTGTTGTTGTTGTTGTTGTAGTCGTAGTAGTAGTTCTAGTTGTAGGTCTACGTGTGGTTGTAGAAGTACTAAATCTGTTAGTTGGGCAGCATATGATCGGTTCGTAGCCTTTGTATCCACATGAAGATGGAATGATCCCTGCCAGCAAATCTTGATAAACTGACGGACACTTCTTTTCGTCAAGGATTACGCAGATACCGGGTGAGCCATCAATAGTGCATCGATCACCTGAGGATAATTGCGAATTCCGTTAAATGGAAAAAACAAAAAAAAAAACATCCGCTGGCGATGGGAAAATACGAGGAAACTCATTCTTTATTCGTGTATCGTATTTCCTCTTCTTTTTTAAATTCCTGTTGCAATCGTATTTAAAACACAAATTTATACATTCGTGGTCTGAAAGATTTTTCTTTCAGCTCTGACATTCAGAACAGATAATGCAAAATTTTATTTTATCACGTAACAATTTTGAGAAATCACTCCAACTGTCTACAAAATTAGTCAAATTGAAGTAATAATATTGATACATAATTGATATCGATAGTTTATATAAGCATAGTATACAACTAATATCTCAGGTGCAATGTTTTGACATTATGCTTTGACGCTTATGAATTTTGAAACATTTTTGATGTTTTAAAATGTTTAAAAAATTTTTACATTTTTTACTGGTTCAGTGTTTAGATACCACATTGTAAGTGTCATGCATGTAAATAACATACAATGATTGATATGAAAATATTAACATATTTCATAAATATATATAAAAATTAATTTTTACGTATAATCAAATATTCATTACATCAATAAACAATAATACAACAACACAACCATCTTTACTACAATTATATGTTTAAAATCGCTATTCAATATCTAACTAATCTTTTTGCAAAAATTTGACCATAATAAAATCTCAAGAACTTTATATATTACAAACACTGCTTTCATGAAAGTTTTAACTCTGTATGAAGTTTTTACTTTCAAAATTTTATTATTGAATCTTGCATCTTTGAGAGAGTATTAATTTTCAGTATTAATTTTTCTAAATGAAGCTTCAGTTTACCTTCATACTGCGCGTCAATGAATATCGGACAGCAGGAAAGCAACGAGAACAATATTGTAAATCTGGCTGCTGATAATGTCATCTTTCCACGCAATCCTATTTTATTCCTCAATCTTCGAATGAATGCACTTGCTTACAATCGATGACTAGTACGTCTGCTCCCTCGTACGTCACTTTTATATGCCCCTCCATGTTTCTGTTGTCAAAGCTAGTAGTAGGACGAGCTAACGATAACAACTGGAAAGACGACAAACTAGTTGTACACATAAAATTGAGTTTTCCGCATTCGATTCTTTTCATTCTAAAAATAGTTGACCGATAATTTTTTAAATACCTTTAGGTGATATTTTGGTGAATTTCTTGTATGGTTCTCCTTGTTAAAACTATGTCAGAATTAAATAATTATTTAAAAAATACAGACATATCTCATTCAGTAGCGGATCCAACTCTTGCCAAGCTTGAAATTAATAATCATTTGGGACCCATGAGTTAAAGCAAGTAAACATTAGTTTTACAAAACTTTTGTTGCCAAATTTTATATACCTCACGCAGTTGTAATATAAAGAATATAGTAGAAATGTATTTAATGCTAATTGTAAGAATTGTAAATAAGTATTGACTATCGTCTATGCAAATTGTTTTATTGGTTCATCATGCGATAACGATTTATTTATATCGTGTTGACAGAATGATTAAAAAGTTCAATCATTTCTCGAATGCAGTTCTTCTATATTTACTATCACTTTGGAGAAAGTTTTCCTTGTTTTGTAAGTTATAATGGATATAGTTAAAAATATCAGTCTTCGTATACTAACATGCGATTATAATTCCAACAATCATTCCTTTCTCAACCATTTTTAGTGTCACAAGTCACTAGCATCAAGGTAAGTCCTTCACCTTATCGATCTATAGTGACACTGTGTGAATTTCTTTTAAAATATGCACATTAATCAATTAATTCTATGAATGTTGAATCCGTACTAGAGTATTACGCAGAAAAGATTATCTTATAATCAATAATGAAATAATTAGTTTGTTCTGCTAATAAATAAATCAAAAGATACATTATTAATGTGTTTAATGATATATGCTTAAAGAGCTAATAATAATTATATATATACTTAACATATGTATTGCTCCTTTAACAACAAACGTCCAGCATTAACCCAAAGGGTTAATTAGAAGCAATACTCGCTATCTTCTTATAAAAAATTCTCCGTTTTTTTACTTATTTACTAGCTCATTTATTATTTGAACATTAATGATTAAATATCTGACTTTTTCCTGTCAGTCTTTAGAAGACTTTCCTTAAAACTTTCGAAAACTTGAAGATCTGAACATAAGGAGTTTGTCAAGGTTTTATAATTATTTAGAGAAGGCCTGCAGCCTTCGAAAACCAATTTGACCAATTTCACAATACTCTATTACAAATAACTATGATGACTATAAGAAATAATAATTACAATATTATATTTATATAATATTTATACAATATAATATTGATTATGAAAAATACTCAAGAATGATTGTATTGTATAGAAAAAATAAAGAATAATTATTAATATAGAAGTATAAAAGTTTGAGAAACAATCTCTTTTTTTATACGTTTCTAAGAAACAGCGCAGTTAATAGGTCAAAGGGCAAAAGAACTTTCAATCTGGATTCGCTTTTCCTGCATGCATAAATAAGTAGAATTGATGATACTATTGCGATTAAAACTCGTAATATATTAATGACATTTCAAATACTTATTTAATTCGAGTGACAAATTATTATAAATTAATAATCTCTCTTCCTCATTTATTTAATATTATTAATTTGAAAAAAATGGCAATCAATGAATTTTAACAGCAGTAATTATTAACTATGTACATTTGTAATATTGAAGATTAAATATTACATTTATAATTTGAAGATTAAATTTCAAAACAATGTTTACTGCATTTATTTACCGCGAAAGACGAATTCTAAAAATTGATAATATTCTTCCGCGAGTTTCGATCTTGAATTTAAATCTTATTGTATGGAAATTTCGTGCATTCATTAGTACAAGTGATAAAGTTCACCACCGTATCAGACGGAGTCAGTAAGTTAAAAGATTTACATTTTAGATTTCATAAAAATTTTCGTCTCTATCTGATCTTATTGTCACACACAAGTAACTTGCAATTTTACCAGAAATTGTATTTTTAATAAAAAATTTAATTCAAACAAGAATATTGACGTTATAATATCCGTTCACAATGATTCACAATGATCAACTGAATGACTTGCAGTAATTTACATAGAAAAATTTACGTTTTAAACCTGTTTGAATAAAAATTTGTATTTACGTAAGTAAGCATCAGGTTCGAAGAACAACAAGAAAGAGGCAACAATAAATTTCATGTTGTATTTCAATCCAATACGAATCAGTGAAAATCAATTTCTAAAGCCTATCTACAATTTAACTTATATATAGTACCTTCCATCTCGGGAGAGACATTAATTACACTTCTCTTTCAAATGAAACATACATAAGTTAAAATAATAAATTCCATGGTACGCAGCGACTATTAAAATTACTATTTTATTTCTAAACGTATATGTATATATATGTATAGATATATGTATATTCAACATATTTACAACTCAGTACCTGATAACATTACGTACACATAAAGCATCTTAGGCTATACACAATAAAAGATTTAATCGCAATTTATAGTCGTCGTATGAATCATCTTACAAAAACACTGATCAGTGATCGACAATCATAGGAATAATAATATGCGATAAGGATTTACTCTGCAGTTACGAATGTTAAAATTGATAAAATTAAATAAGATAAAAGAGTAGAGGTAATATCCTACCTAAACGAAAAAGGAACAAAGTATAAGTATGATTATTCATTTAAGAATAATCATGTATATATATATATATATACCGATACATTATACGCACGCTACATTTCCTACAGAAAATTTCCTATGCAGAAAGATAACGTTACATGATCTTGCAAAGCCTAAACCAATTTTCATGAAGGAACTTAACGCTAAATCTACTACAACAGGGAGAGGAGCTTCGACGAATGTACCTTCCTTCTTCTTCAATCGGTTAACTCGTCCTCCCCATAAGAAACGAAACAAATATGTATATATGTTTGCACGTCGCATATCTTCAAGGTAAGTTTCATCGAAGCTCAAATCTGTGTACGATACAATACAGTTCCCTACGTACTCGCGTTAAGTTATCAGTCTTACGGCTCTCAAGAGGAAATTGTACATTTTTCTATATATAAAACAGCGTATGTATTATATTTCACATGCATGCGTACCTTAATCATTTTCTTTACGATGTACATACATATATATAACAGGCAATCCTACGTACAAACAGTTCTGTAAACGGCCCCTCAAAAAACGAATAACCGTGTTTGCGACACTTGACACAAACTAAGGTTACACTATAATCTATTCTCGCTAAAACAACCCTGCTTTATACGTATACATTTTCACAATTGATGCATCAAGCACGTCGAATGCATCAAAGTGTTGAAAACAGAGTTTTCTTTACGCAATATTAAGTTTTTACCACGCTTGGAAACATATATAGTAATAAAAGCTTATTTGCGTAATTGAATGACAGTTTTTTCAAATTATTTCACAAAGGCACTCGAAGAGGCACAAAAACACTGGAACCGAACCCGTTTGTATCGAAGTGCTCCGTTAAAAAATTATTACGAGTTTATGGTGTATAACACTGTTCGAATGCCACTATGAAAAATAACAAATTTTCACGAAATATAATATAAAGAAACTGGTTCCAACGTAACAGACACATCCCAGCGACATTCTTCCGAACTCTGCCGGATGAAACGTGAATTAAACACGATGCATTACCCCGGTTCATCGAACTTGCAGTGCTTTATCTCTGCGTTGCTATTTATATACACATGTATGTTTGTATGTATGTAATATGGCGATCGTTCAATAAATATATATACAGAAAACGCGAGAAACTCTAATTTACGCACTTTATGAAGAGTATTGGCAAATATAGTCTACTTAGTTTAATCCCACTTAATATAATCTGCATAAAACTTAATATCTAATTATTTATATATATATATCTAATTATTTATATATATATCTAATTATTTATATATATATATAAATTTATATATTTATTATATAGAAATTTATTTATATATATATTTGTGTATATATGTGTATATCTGTGAAAAAAAATTCGCTTTCTTCAATTCTCCTATATTCAGTCGTTCGAAATATTCTTCCGTAACTTAATTTTTATTAATTGAGAAACGTGTACAATATCTGGAATGAATCAAGTGCGAGATATAGTACGAAGAAGAAAGTTAGGGGAGGGGGCTAATTATTGAGGCGATAAATCACAATGATAGATGGGGGCTACAGTGAGAAACAATAATATACGTACAAGTACATAGACTGCGCTATAGTTTTCCTTTTGCATTACTGAAATTGAACAAAATTAATGAATAATTATAGATTAATGAATAAACAAAAGAGACGAATCTCGTTTACATATATGCAAGACACAAATTGTCAAGAACTGTGAAGAGACGTTTCTTATTACAAAATAGAAAACAGGTGTTCTTGTCTTTCTATTTGCTGGCAGCTCGTTTGTCGAAGATTTCTGTTTACAGAAAATTAAAGAAAAAGAAGAAGGAGAAAGAAACGTATTAAATAAGACGATTTATGACCGATTAGATAGTTAAGTACAAAAAGGAATTATTTTGTCAATGAACACTTTGGGCACAAGTAGATCTGCGAACATACACTTTTGCAATAACACCTTTTTATCCCTTAGTTTCTTTTCTACATTATGAACACAGAAGATCCATAATAGTCATCGTCTCTGGTTGTCCTCGTACGGATTATCAACTGTGTATCTAATGCAAGTATTCTATCTGTTATTAAAGAAAAAAGAGGAACAATTCACGACGGAGTCGTCGACTCTCCAAGAATAATATTGCAATCTCGTTTGCAAAAGTTTCACAAAGATTCGAGACTCTAGCAGGAATTAACAAGCACAAAAGATGCATGTACATCTAAAAAAATCTCACAAAGACAATTCAACAGCGAAAGGCAAGCAGCAAAACTTGAAGAGTCCACGACTCCAGATACATGAAATGACAAAACAAAATGACGTTACGTTACAACGACGTTGTGAAAGTGATGGCACAGACAGTAGAAAAAAAAAGAAACGTGTTCAACAAAGAGCAACAGTAATCATTGTTAAAAATCTAATCCGAGTTACGTCTAATAAAAAAAAAACGTTGATTTGGCGTTCCACCACCGGACGGTATCGTCGTAAGAACGAAGAAGCCATCCAAATCTGCGGAAGGAGAAAGTTGATCTCGATAGCCATTAAAGAGAAAAAAAAAAAAACGAGTGAAAGATGACACCATTGCGTGCAAGCCGAGGTGCAGGTAAAGAGTGCTCTAAACGTCGATAGTCGCCAGTCTGCCGGAAGGATTTCTAATTACACCCGTGTTCTTCTACAAACTCGACGACCTCTCCTCCCTCCTTGCAATTTCACGATCGCAGTTCTCCTCCAATCCTGCTTCAGTCCGTTTCTCTGCAGGAACTGGAGGTGTTTAACTGTGTCATCGTGCCACGCGACGTCCCCTGCAAAGAAAATCTCGTTTCCTGAATATTTGTCTCTCTCTGGGCTGTTGCATTTGGGCATGAAAGTTAAAAATATCGCTAAAAAGAAATCAGTTTTTTTCAAAAAAAGAAAGAAAAATTCTCTTTTCCGGGTCGTACGTAGTGCATGTGTGTTAATCGTCGGCATGCATGCGCATAATCTATTCCTTGTTATGCGATCGTAATAACGATATTTTTATAGTAGTAGTAGTAATAGTAGTGATGATAATAATAATAATAGTGTAGTTCGTTGATTTGTATTTCATGAAAAATAGTAAAGAAGAAAGCGAAAAGAGGTGTAGATCGAATTTCATAGCTGATCGCGAGTGTAAGGTTACACGGGTGCGAAAAGAATTCGTTTCCGAGAGTCGAAACGTTTTCGTATAGTTTTCGTATAGTTTTCTCGATATCGAACAGATAGAACAGGCATGGAATAATATATTTTTAGTACGTTGCTAAAAAAAAAAAAAAAAAACGAATTCTTTCCTCTGTTGTGCTTTATGTATAGTACGTGCAATTGTCTCTGATTCCATGACTCGTGCCTTTGCATCGGTGCCACAGAGCACATAAATATGTATACAAGTATCGTCGAGGAGAACAGAGAATTTTAAATCTACTATCCTTCTTTCTCGAAAGATGAAATTGGCTCGCACATCGAACTGTTCGTGAAAAAAAAAAAAAAGAAAAAAAAATACATGCAACTGCAAGTGTCAACAGCGCTTCCGGTAAGTGTGCATAAAAATAAAAATATATATACACAGCTACGCGAAAACATACAGTACAGGATTAAAATGATACTTTACAAGGAAAGATTCTATACGAGTATATGTATCGACGTACTAATCGTTGAGTAATTTGTCGCGTGACATGTTACGAGAGAGTATTCTATAGGCGTGGTAACTGATACCAATGTGTCGAACGATAACAACCAATACGGGATTATAATACGAACGAAGATTGCGTAACATTGGCCTCTTTTGTACAGTTATTATCATGGATCGTTTCAATGAAAAACAAAAAAAAAAAGAAACAGAGATAAAGAGAGAGTGGTTAGCACCGGTCACAAAGAATTCAGAAAATAAAAATATCAAATCGGAAAACAAGTAACCGATCTTTCTCTTCCTCGTGATTTACATTCTTACGCGTGTTACGATCTACGACGACGATCTATAGAACTGGTTGAACAGTTACGCTCTTTGTTGTTGGCTTTTCCATCTTGAGCGATTATGACTGGAACAAACGTAGAACTTTCACGCAGTCATTTCGCGAGAAAAAAACCAGTATAAATATGTACAAGGAAACTGTTCTCTGATCTCGTTCAAGATGGCGCGCATTCCGCTCGAAAATCGCTGAACAAACGCGCAACCAAATCGAGTTTGATCTTTCTTTCTCGGTTACACTGACCATCCGTCGTATCTCGGCGTTACTTGTTTAAAAAAAAAAAAAAAATCGTCGATTTTAACCCCAACTAAGAGATAAAAAAAAAAAACCCCGCTAAAATAAAGAACATCGACGTTCGACGAGAAAATAAGAGGATTGTACAGAATGAGAGAGAAGATAGAAAGAAAATAAGAAAAGACGAAGCGAAGAAGGAAGACAGATGTGTTGAGAGAATAAGAGGAACGGACGAGACCAGCGAGATTTGGTCAATTCTCGAAACAAAACAAAAAAAAAAAACAAAAAAAAAAAATGGAAACTTATCTTGACGGACTTGTCCTCGGCTGATGGCAGCCAAGTTCCAGGATAGAGGAAGAGAAGGAGAAGGAAGACACGACGATTGAGAGAAGAAGACGCATTGACGATCTCCAGAATTGGCGTGTAGAGAAGAGCCTCCTCGGAAAGCTTCGGAATGAACGCACGTTCGTCCATCATTCACCGATCTTCGAATACGTTCGAATTGGACAAACCCGTTGGCCTGCGCGTTGTCTCTCTCGCACGGCTGTTCCGCACACTGTTTTCCCGTGTATTGTCTTCTGTTCAGCGCATGCAATCTGAAACAAGAGAAGAAACAAGAACTGTGTGTAATGGCTGTTGGCTTTGTAATGAATTTGTTCAACAAGCCGTGTGGTGTGAAGGTCACCGCCACGGTAGACACACTCGACGATGATTGTTATTTTAACCTCTCCGAATTATGTGCGTTTTCCCTCTCTTGAGAAATTTGATATAAAAATTTGTTGATTTCGACGAAGCGAAAGTAATATTGTTTGTGTTATATAAACACGAGACGGAAGAAAAAGATACGATAGGAAATGTTTTTTCGTTGTTAGTATACATTTATTTACGTGTACAAACATGCAACATATTCGTATTTATAACCGAATTTGTTTTTAGAATTTTTAACGATTTGAACGTGGCTCACTGTGTACGTGAATGTGTTTGCAGTTATGTCCTCGCCGTGGCAAAGGTCGGAATATCAATCAGTGACGTAATCAAATGTTAATTATCGTGAAATTATGTCTTCTATCGGCACGAGTCATTTTCGACTGATAACCCGCGAATTCACGAACGAGCGAATTACATATTTAATTACTTGTGACTCTTCAAGCGATTTGTTCAATAATTATCACTATTCTAACAATTGTGATTTCGAGACCACGGTTGACCGATAATCTCTATTGAAATCTACATAACAAAATATCTATATATCGAAGCTGCTAGTTTTTGAGCGTGAAAAGTGCGCAGCTTTGGAAACGCGAAACAACTTTGCCTCCGAGTTGTTGAAATTATCCAGCCAACCCACACGTCTAGACGTCTTAAAGTTTTTACAGAACTTACAAGGCGTGGTACAGGCATGACTACAACGCAATGTGAAGCCGATATATATGATCCTGCGCCACGACTTTTCAACCACGCCTCAACCGGTACAAGTTCCCTCCACATTGCGCGTAAAGAGCAATGCACACAGAAAATACCACCGTGAGGAAAATTCTAAATCGTTAATCTCGTAAACGATCGTTATCTTTTGCACAATCGAAAATTAATTGAGTTAACATCACGTCTGGAATCTATCAATAATCTAACAATAATCATACAACAATAAAAAATAATAACAATCAATGACCAACAATAAATGTTTTACAACCAATCAATAAATAAATTATAATAATGAGCTAATAACAATCAATCATCAATAAATTTATTATAACAAGACAGCCAATAATAAATTATTGAAATATAACTCATGACAATAAAAAATAATAATCAACAATCAACAATAAATTTTTCACAACCGGTCAATAAATAAAAACAAGCTAGTAATAGTCAATTATCAATAACTATATTGTGATATGACAACCAATAATAAATTATTGAAATATAAAGCATGGCAATAAAAAATAATAATCAATAACCAACAATAAATTTTTCACAATCAATCAATAAATAAACTATAATAATGTGCTAATAATAATCAGTCATCAATAAATTTATTATAACAAGACAACCAATAATAAATGATTGAAATATAAATCATGACAATAAAAAATAGTAATCAACAACCAACAATAAATTTTTCACAACCGGTCAATAAATAAACTATAAAAACAAGCTAGTAATAATTAATTATCAATAACTATATCATGATATGACAACCAATAATAAATTATTGAAATATAAAGCATGACAATAAAAAATAATAATCAATAACCAACAATAAATTTTTTACAACCGATCAATAAATAATCTATAATAATGTGCTAATAGTAATCAATCATGAATAAATTTATTGTAACAAGACAGCCAATAATAAATTATTGAAATATAAATCATGACAATAAAAAATAATAATCAACAACCAACAATAAATTTTTCACAACCGATCAATAAATAATCTATAATGATGTGCTAATAGTAATCAATCATCAATAAATTTATTATAAATTATTATAAATTTAAATCATAACAATAAAAAAATAATAATTTGAACGCGGGACAGTCCAAATGTAGAATTCATAATTTATAGTTAAATTTTGAAAAATACGTGTGTCTTCTTTCGCGTTCAAACCTTGAACCAAATTGCTCGTTTCTCACAGTTATTTTGGTCTTTTCGTGAAATGATAACAATCCTTCGATCTTTTTTATTGCTCAATGTCTGTATCTGTCGTAGGCTTTTCGCGTGACCGCTTAAAATGTGACACGACCGATTTATAGGCCGATTAAAGCGTGACGTGAACTAGGTTAATACGCGCGGACGGAGAATTCGATTTCGCAAGGCTTTCGTACAGGTCTCCTTCGGCTAAATTGAACGTGCGTAAAATCTCTCTCTCGTGAGCACGTGTTTACGCGGCTCTCGGTCTAGTTCAAAGCTTCGCATGAATCAGAGAAACGTTCCCAACGTGCAAACTGCTTTTATGCTAATATGTATATAGGCAGAGTGCGTTCGCGCGTCTGTCAGACAGCTGGCAGTAGGCCAAGGATTCGGCTGCTCATTTTCTTTTGACCATGAAGTCATTCGCGATTTTATAAAGTTCGCTTCGAGCGAACTCTCGAAATTATCACCTTGGTGAAATATTTAACAAGGCACACGGAAGTGTACACGAGTAACATGCAGGCATTAATGAAAGATCTAATATATAAATATGAGTTGTAAATGTATAAGCAAGTAAGCATATAAATATGAGCGAAATATGAGTTTCTTTATCTTTACTCTCTTTCTACATATATATATATATATATATATATATATATTCAGTGTTCGATAAAGCTAGCGATCATTTGAACATTAAATCAAAGAATGCAATCGATATTTTTAAATTACACGGGTTAACAGCGACAAATTTGGCGATAATAGTATCGTTGGTTTGATTGAAGTCACGTGACCTGAGAGAAGTTCGTTTGCACTCGGCGCAGAGGCAAGAGTCCTCCGCACTTACACGATCTAAAAGGCCTCTCACATTCGTCTTGAACAACATTGAGTCTAAAAGTGAATGTGCACTATTTTGTTCTAAACAACGATCCACGAATATCTCTTCCAATTATGAAAGCTAGCGTCTTTCTTCTTTTATTAGTGCCATTAGTTTCTGACGCTGTCTCGAGCAAATCTGACGTACGACCGGCGTATGAAACTGGCTTAACGAACACGAAGGCGAAGGAGAGAAACGAAGACGAACAACTGAATGTATCTTGTCACGCGTGGTAACAACCTTTAGTTAAGGCGATTAGAGTCAGGCGACTCTCCACCAGTCGCGGTTGTTATCGTCGCGCCACGCCAGATTGTTATTTATAGAGAGAAAGTTGAAGCGCTTACTACTAATGCAAGGACAGAGAGAAAAGATGCGAAGAAGCCCCAGCAACGTCATTTTTCATTTTTCTACAAACTTCCAAGGCGATTTAGACTTCATTGAACGCATTTCGTCGTTCATTTCAAATCGCGCTTCAAGAACGTTTCATTAAAAAATATATACCGCGCTACGTCGATAGCTCTACGAACTATGTCTTTCAAGATGACTTGACAGAAGCATTACTACCAAGTTGTCTTTCATGCTAACCAAATGACTCTCCACTGCTAATGAATCGGTCGTCTATCTTTTACACGTGACAGCAAATGAAGTTCTAGTTAGCCTGCGGATCTCGCTTGTCGAGGGAAATTGATTAACCTAATTGATAGAATCAAGCAGGCTCGCAAGAGCAAAAATCGTTGAAGTGAATTCAGGATCGTTATACACTGTGTATAACAAACTGACTACTGAGATCAACTTACCATAAATGTAACGCGACCAATCGCCTCCTTTCTCGCCAGTTCCGCGCTCCATTGACCTCCGATTATGTCTCTCTCTCTCTCTTTCTCTCTCTCTTTTTCGCTTCCGTGCAAGCGTGTTCTTCCACAATTCGAACTCAATCGTTGGTCCCCATCGCTTCCCCATTGCATTTGTCACTGTTCTCTTCTCCGCTCTCTTGTTCCTGGTCTTGTGTCCGTCCACTAGACTGCAGATAGACAGGTGATCCGTACGACCGCCATTTCGCGTCGTGTCGTGTCGTGTGCGTTACGTTTTGCCACCTCGTCCCGCATGATCTACGTCTCGTGATCATTAAACCAAGTAGAACTGGAAGAATTCGTACGACTTTCGTACAATCGTTTTTTTAACCAGTGACGAGGGATTCACCAGTATGGGGTGTCGTTCGTTAGGTGTTGCCACGAGGCGAACTCGCTCCACGTGCGGACGTTCGCCCTGGTCGCGTCTGCCACTCGAGGTATACTGTCTCGCATGCCGTTGCTCGAGAAACCGTCGCAGGTTGTCGTCAGGATATCGTATCGTTTGGCAGGTGCTCGTGGCTGCAACACATTTTTTTTCTTTTCTTTCCATTTATTGCAAGGTACAGTGATGAAACAAAATGCATAATAGCATCGTTCGTGTAACGAAGATCTGACGTGGGTTGCAAAGATTCATCATAAACAAATTACAGCGTGCAAAGTTACTTATTTTTTTTACTAATTTTATACTTTCCAATTATTTCATTGTGAATTTACTTCGTCTTATAAATGTCATGAGTGAAGCAAATGGATTTTGTTGGGACTTGACAAGTGAGTTTTGTTCCAATAAACGTGAGATTACCTCCAACTTTTTGCGAGCGACGAAGTTCTTTCCATCATTGTTGTCCCAGTACTCCTTTCCGTCGGTACGATATCGCACGCAGAACTCTATCATGTTGGACTTCACTGGCAGAGTTAACCGGAATCGGAAGGTATCGTACAGAATCAGAGCGGGAGAGCCAGGTTGCTCAACGTAGGTGCAATGAACGTCCTCGTGCGTCTTCCAAGAATCGTTGCTCGCCCTGACCACGACTTCTTTGTCGTACGCCAGATTACGTACCTTGATGGTGCCAACTAGACTCTGTTCCGATTCTCTCACTATCACATTCTCTAGGCTGACGTTCTCCTGATCGAGTTTCTGGCGAAAGGTCAGATAATCGCTCGCTGGTTGGGGGAAGGTTACCTGCCACGGTGACACAAGTTCTGTCGCCTGATCGTTCTCGATTTTCGAATTTAAAAGTCGCCCGGTTAATCCAGCGAGGTACGCTGTACTCCACAATGGTGGCACGTTGCTGGGTTCCGACATCACTCGAACCTGACAATAAGACGACATAAAACTCATGAAGCACGTTATGTTGAGTAAAACATGTATTTTATGTTTCTAACCATATTCTCTGCTAAAGGTGAATAACATTGATCAGTAAAAATAATCAGCAGGCTGGGAATAAATTATTGAATCAAATCATTTGAATCCTAAAGGCGAAATTTGTTGTGACTATGGTACTACTGACTGGTAATCAAAAAATATAAGATTACAAATTTAGAAAATCAAAATAACACAGACAGTCTACGGGGGAAAGTTCAAATACAAGTAGAAAGTCAGTCAGGTAAAACCTGCATCGCAGACAGAGCGTCATTTTATTTCCTTTCACAACTACCCAGAGCACAAGACTCTAAAACAATAAGTGTATTTAGAATTTACCTGAGTGAGAGGACGGCCACGATCGTCGGCGAATACAACCCTTTTTTTCTGCTTATTACTACCGCCATCGCTGCTGTTTCGAATGCTATCTATAGTCAAGGAACCGGATGTCAAGCACGGCCTTATTCTGGGTGGCACCGATCTACTAGTAATCGTCGGTGCTGTTACTACTAAGGGACTGTACAGCAACGAGCTATACACTGGAGGACTATGCCCCAGAAGCAGCTCAGCTGGCATCGCTATGGAACACATTTAGATCTGGAAAAGAAATTATTTTTTTTTTATCCTTTAGTGTATACTGCAGTATCCTTTATTTCAAAAAACAATTTTTAATTCGATTTGATCTATTAACACTTTTACTAAAAATTCTATATTAATTTATTAATATTAGATATTCTACTTTTGGTGAATATTATAAGTAATATTATTACTACTTTTAAGTAATAAGTATATTATAATATTATATTATATTATATTATAATATTATTACTACTTATAGTATATTATATTAATATTAATTATAGTATATTATAATAATATTACTACTTATACTATTATAATAATATTAATATATTATATTACTATATATACTATTTATTATTATAATATAATATATAATATTACTATATATTATATTATAATAATATTACTAGTACTTATACTATTATAATATAATATATTATATTATAATATTATTACTACTTTTAAGTAATAAGTAATATTATTTACTTATTAGTACTTTTCCTTCTACTAAAACTTTTACTAAATATTTACTTCAGCAAGTACATAAAAATTTTTATCTCGTTTAAACTTTTGGTATCTAAGTGTTAAACGTGGATTTTATAAACTCAATTACTTGAAAAGTATGATCGTTTTATTAACCATTTTTTCAGCCACGAGTTGGCCCAACGGAAGAGGCCCAATCTTTACGTCGTAAAATGCTTCCGCCGAAGAAACGCTCTGTCGAAATTGAAACCCGCGTTGCATGAATGATCTGACAAAAGCGCCCAAACCTTTAGTAACAAGGAACGTGCGCTGTCCACTGCCAAAAATTTCGTCAACAATATTACGTGTCGTCGAATCACGTGAGTCATTCTGTGCCACGGATTTGTCAAATGATTTCGACTGTAAGTCCAAAATTGTTCGACAAATATTCACAGATGCGTACACTTGGAAAATTACAGGAGGAAGGTGGACTTAAGCTCGCTTGTCTATCTTAATGAAGAGTTTTATCGCAGCTTGCAAAATACCGAGTCAACTTATTGACCGATTGACGGACAAATATAGATCAGGTTTTTTTCCCCTGATAAAATAAAACCGTATTTGTCATTGAGTTCACGGAATTCGAATTTCAAACTTACGTTTAGTGACTAATTGAATTCTTGGACGACTACGTGAATCAAGTAGAGGTATTTTGTACTTTCACTCGATAGCTTGAGATGTTTTAATATCAACGGGTCGATGGAACGACAAGATAATTCATTCTGTCGTTTTTGCACGAAAGAGTACGCGCAGACTGAAAAATTTTGTATCACAGCGAAGCGTTTTGCGCGGCAAGATAGGTGCGCGTTGGTGGTCATGTTACTGCCGGAGTGGAATTACGACTTTTAAATGTGGCAATAGTCTCTTCTCTCGTCCCTCGAGACTTGCTCTCGAACCAGACTTGACACGTACCAGACCGGAACCAAGCAAGTGCTATAGCAATATCGCGAATCGGATGTTTTGAATTTCAACTATATAGACTCATCGCGTCTTGTCTACTATGTATTTCTATCTTCTCTGAATTTTCCCAAGCCAATAATAACAAAACAAGAAGGAAATCTTGGTATCATCCCCAATAATTAATAATAATATTCCTAATATAATTTTAATAATAATTAATAATAACATTTCTAATATAATTTGAAAAACTGCCTGTTCTTTTTTCAAATTATTCATTCTTTGAGAATATATTTCAATTAACACAAGGAAAGTATCCACTGACAAGAAATTACTGGCAGTTGAAATAAAAAAAATAAAAGAAATAAATTGAACGCAATACGACTGTTCGCAAATAACGAAGGGTTGAAATTAAAGGGTACATTCTCGGCCATTATTTATCATTACGCGAACGAGGTGTCAGGGTCAAACGGCGTGGTCTGGAGAAAGAAACTTAAAAAAAAAAAAGAAAAGTGACAATATTTCTTATCTCATTTAGCGTGTAGTCCACGGTGACACTTTCGAGTGAAAATACTGCCATGATTAACAGCTGCAATGTTCGTGTTATGACTATGAGGCTTCATTTTATTTCTCATCGATATAAGATTCATTTCGTAAACTTATCAACAGTAGTATATATAGCAAGTACGCTCCGAGACCAAATTTTCCAGCTGTAAATGAACGTCGAACTCTTGCAAATTATTGCACTGTAATTGTGTTCCGTTTGATAACTGATTCATTTCAGAAAAGAAAAAAAGTTTGTCTAGCGTGTCAGCCGTTCTAGTGATTAAGCGAGATTAAAGTTAAATGAGAAACTTTCCACTTGCTTGGAACGTAATTATTCTTCATCTTACGAAATTCTTTTGTATTAAAGATTAAATAGATGTTATCTTATTACATTTATTATTTATTAATAATTCTGAAATTATTTATCGCCTGTAACGCGCGATATATTCGTCAAAGATATTTAAAATATTATGTATATGTATATAACATGACCTAATAATTTATTGAAACATTTTTGAAAGTTTAAAATATTTCAACGACGACCGAGAAATTCTTGAATTTATCTGCTCGAATAGTATGTGATAAAGTATCTATCTATGTATTAAACATTATTGCACATTTGCCAAAATTAATTATAATAAATGCTTCACCTCCGTTATCGCGCGTGGAGGCTTAATGCAACATAGAAGTCGAAATATGTCGATATCAATTTTTTTTCCGACGTAAAAAATCTTAATTCCTCGGCTGATAAACTTGCGCGTCCTCGATACATCGAGGCGTCGCTGTTCTCGAAACCGATCGAAAGCGAATATTACCGCGAATTCATAACGTGATTCCTTTCGGCCAATAAGAAAAGAATTCGCGAGAGAGTGCATTAAACACGCAGCACACTTGGTGGGGATCTGAACCCCCCACCAAGTCACGTTATCATCAATTTACAAAATATAATACTGCTATAAGTATAATTTTCTTTCTCGTTGACTTTCTTTTTGCCTCGATGTCGAGTTGGGCAGTTAAAAAAGGACATACTTTAATGTAACACTCTTAGAAAGAAGAACAACTTATTCCATCCAAAGATCTACGTCTTTTAGCAATAAATGACAAATCATCTAAAGTGTGATAAATACTTTTGAAATCGACCGATATGACCTTGCCACACGACCTTATAACCTCACGACTTAATAAAAAATCAATTTTGTTTCGCGAGATATTGGATTTTAAAATACTCTCGTAGGAGAAAAGAAAAAAAAATCGCGTCTTTCTCTCGTATGTACACATAGCATGTTCTCGTACGCTTGAAACCGAAAGAAATCACCACGTGTCCGAATCGGCAATGTCTACGAAGCATTACGTGAGAGGTTATAACAGAATGACGCAACAATTGCGTAAAATAAACTTTATGCTCGTATACTGGCGAAACACGCGTATAGACACGCGAGGCAAAAGTATGAAAAGAAAAAAAAAACCTATAGTACAGAAACTGGAATTAGAAAAGTCACTTTTTCGTCTATTTTTGTAGACGAAAAAGTGGATAAAAAAAAAAAGCTCGATTAGATAATTGAGTCGATCACGCTCGAGACGATGGTGCATCGTGTCATCATTTCATAATTATGTTTCATAATTCAAGTTTGTTTGAGACTTTTACAATGAATATCGCGCATCCAAGACACGACGCCACTGGGATGATAATACCAGAGCGTCTCTTAACCCGGGCCGAGGGTCTCTGTCTTTTAATTCGACTATTTTCACTGTGTCCGTTCTTTCCTCGAGTCGACCGTATCACAAACGGTCAACAAACAGTCAGACCGATCTCGTCTATAAATCGAACAGGCGTTCGAAAGGTCAGTAAATTTGGACGAGGATGGTTTTGTCATGGATCAAGCATGTTCACGTTTCGTGACTCGGGAAGGAAAAGTGCGCAGCCGTGGTGCTATTTCGGGCAAGACAGCAATTAAAATTAGCGTGGCGCATCTTCAAAACGCTACACTGAGACGCGTTCCGCCCTTGGAACAAGTCCAATTGTCTGACTCCTATGATACTGTAGATGCTGCGTTACAACTGAACGTTGTTTGTAATTTCTTAGGGATACACTACCAGACGACGCACCGTATTATTATTTTAATTGCTTTATCACTGTTATCACGAACTTGTTACACTGTTATGACAATTTCAATTGTTTCGCGAATAATATAATTAAATGAAATTAAAATCTAAATTTTCAAACTTTCAAGGAAAAGAAAGATCGCCAAGGAAAAGGAGAGGAGTTCGCGTTGACGGTTTAACGACCTGTAAGCGTACAGTAAATATGACGCGCAATCCTAAACAGACTATAAAATTACATGAGAGCTGCTAGACTGCTAGACACACGTGTGTACGAACGATGTTAGCTTGGGATGTCTAGTCATTTGGCTGACGATTTCTTAAAATAACTATTCGGCGGATCCCGAAAGGTAACCCGATCCATGTTTGACTATTTTTTTTTTTTTTTTTTCATTTTCCTTTTTTTTTTTTTTAGTTTTGTATTTTGTTTTAAATTCGAAATATTTTCACGCGTTATACCACTGGTTATATATATATATATATATATTGTATGTGCTAATGCACGTTCCAAGTACGAAGTACTGTGCATGCGCACATTGGTTCCATTCGCGCATTATTCAATATTATTTGGCAATGAAATCATACAATTTTTTTTTTTTTTTTTTGTTCAGGAATTGATGATGCAACGGCGTCTCATTGGAATACACACGAAGAATACCACTGCAGTATGTTTCCCAGTCATTAACACACTGATAAAATATTATTTTTAATCCCCGCTGGGAGCGATTACATTTATTTTGAACGCGGAATTTATATTGAACGCGGGCGTTATCTAACGAGTCTATCGTTGCAAAAAGTAACAATATTTCAATATGATGATCGTTTCAATTTCAATTATGATGAAATCCACTCCTATTGTTAATTTGCTATCAATCGGCGCGGATAAGGAAAGGTCGCGGGTTATTGGAAGTCACGTGTGGAACTAGACTACGACTAATCCGATAAGATTAGAAAATATACGAGTCCTTGACTCATCGCGCAGGCGACAGAAATTTCACAAAATTACTACCAAATCAGAAACTATTTATCGCTGGCCAATCAATTTTTTCACATGGTAATTAATCGACGTGTTACTTAACATGTATATTTTCGCGAACAGATATGCGAAGCAATTTCGCGTATTTTAGGGGAAAAAAAAAAATGGTATAAAAATACATATCTGTGAATTAAAATCGAAAATGGCACGTTTAACGAGTTTGACGAGATATTTAATCGAATACGAAAGCAGAAAGATGCTTGGCTTGGTTGGAAAATATTGCGCGACTTTATCAGCCTGTTACCAGTTAACGCTCACCAGATAAAAAACTTCTGACTTTTTAATTTTGATGTACTCGTTTCTCTCGTTAATTAATCGAACGATTTGGTTCATCTTCGCGCAAAGCATTTATGCCGATCAGAGAACTATTGTTACGTGACAACTATGTCATCGATCGTCACGCTAATGTGAAATAATACCACTGATAAGAAGAAAATCAAATATATGTGTAAATTATTATTTTTATCGATTGCTCTTATTGATTGCTTCAACATTTGCTCGTGTATTCTCTTGATAACGCATTGGCACCAATTATGCAAATCGTTTCGTTGCATAATAGATCGATATGTACACAGTAGTTTTAAGATACACGAGGCTAGAGAATGAGAGAGAAAAAGAGAGAGAAAGAGAGAGGAAAAATATTATGTGTAGCGGTGAAACTTTAATGACATTCCAGTGACTGAAATCTTTGAGTATGCCTGACCTATGATAATGAGACAACTTATCACAAGACGCAAACTAATAAGATTGGTTATTCTTAAAAATAATACGTAAAAATAATACTTTCTCGTCAACATGATAATTTTTTTACACGCGAAAGAATCCGACAAATTTCCGCTCTTTTTTTTTCTTAAATAAATTTTTTTTCTTAAATAAAAGTTCGTAGAAATTGTTTGCTTTTAAGAAATACAAGCGTTTGGTAGAACCGGTTCACCTTTGCGCGTGTGCGTGTGTCTGTGCGTGATACAAATAAAAGAGAGAACAAGAGTCAAGAATCGCATACGTGAATTATTAGAGAGAAACCGGTTAGAGAAATTTGAATATCTTCTTTTTATAGCGTCAGCTTCTATCACGAAATACGGTCGTGTATCATTAAAGAACAGCCTTGAGAAATATGTGCTAATCCTACTCATCCTTGAACGCCTTCTTATTAAAGAGCACGCGCAATTATTATCTGATGCTGACATCGCGAGACAGGAAAGCATCCGTTGATAATGATCGCAGAAAGATGAGAAAGATAATTTGAAAATAAATTTAAGAGCATGTATTTTATGACTGTCGTAAAGTAAAAGAAATACAGAGACAAAATAAAAAAAAATGACACGTGTTAAAGTAAAACAAAAATGTATCACAAAAATGTCTCTTGGTGATCCAAAGAGATTAACAAAATTAAATGTTAAAATAATCAAATAGCCTACAAAGCTTTCTTCAGTATCGTGTATTCAGGCCACGAACTGGCCACGTGCAGCAAGGATTATTTCTAAAAATCTTATCGAATGATCCATCACTGGCACCATTCGTTCGTTACAAGATATTGGCCGAGATCGTAAAATTTCTTGGGAATCGGTATATATTTTTCAGCGATCGAAGGCGCCGCTGAGGTCGGTCCTCTGGTCTGTTATCACCGTCGCGTTTCTGGTTCGAAGCAGCCCGATAACCGACATATCCTTGCCGCCTGAACACCCTCAAGCGCGGAATCTTACCGAACAAAGTTTAGTCGCCGAAACCACAATGAAGAGACACGTTGCGTGCACGCGTAAATCCCGCGAGACGACGAAAGAAAGGAAAAATTCAGATAGACGCCGAGATAATTGATTCAGACGCCAATGCGAGCTTGGCGCGAAGCATTCGAACATGCTGTTATCTATAATAAGAATTGCTTGTAGCTTAAATCGTAAAATTTTCAAATTCTCGAATGTTCGAAAATTGCAAATTTATTTCCAGCACTTTACAATTTAGCTTTTCGCTCATTTTTCATGACTAACAGCCCGCGATCGATCGATAATTGATTCGTTATCGATCTGAATTCTCTTTGATCGTGCTTTCGATGGAAATTCGTCTTTATCAATCAAGTAAATACAATTGTGAGAGATAAAATGTGCGAGATTCTTGTCGGACACGACGATCGGATCACGTTCTGTTTTCTAATTGATAAAAATTGGCAGAGGCGATGTATGGGACGCCGCGATTCGCAATTAAAATTCGTACGATGCCGTGATTCTAAATTTATATACAACTGATAAGGTCACGCCGCGTTTAGAATATAATTATATTTAAGAAACATTAAGATTCTTTCATAGGCGATGATAGCCTTTTGACTCCTGCCGATTTATATGTGGAACAATAAATCGTAAAAGACTGATACATCATTCATCGTGTTGATATATAAATCACATAACATAATACGTAAATATGCATGTAAGCAACTTCATACGTGCAATTTAATGTATTTTAACTTATCAAGTCTCATAACACTTTATTGCAAAGATGAATTGCGAAAACTAAATAGACCAACTACTTTTTGTAGCATTCAATCTAGAAAAGTCGAATTTGAAAAATCTGATATCTATCTTGTGCTAAACTGACTCCTAAAAGTAAATAGCGTACGCTTTTAAAACGATCAAGTGTTACGTAAGTAACAGAGGAGCGACAAACTCTATCGTACGTTCACCGATGTGTACTATGTATACTTTAATCTATACAAGTATACTATACAAACACAATCCTTACATTTTTTGGAAATGTCATATCACTTCAAATCAAAAAACTAATTTCTTTAAACAATTTATCAGGAATTCTAATGTTCAATTCCAATCGGTATTTTTGATAGAAATATTTTCCAGAAGAATCCCATAATTAAATTTGACACAAATTAAAAATAGTTTTGGTAACGTGTGATTGATAATGAACAATACTAATCTCATATATAAAACAAAAAATGTAACTTAACATGTTTTACGTATTATATACGTACATGGTCTTCTAATTACAAACAAATGCAGTGAGCGGTAGATTTCTTAAAATAAAATTTTAGAAGAAGTGTGAATTGTTATATAGCGGATGCAAATTGCAACATTTTCACTGCACTTTCTCCGGAAGTGCACAGTGTCGTGGTACACGCGTGGGAATAATATGTGCAAACAATTCGTCTTGCGCTCATACAACTGTCTCCCGGGTAGGCGTCGAAGGAGAGACGAGTGACCGGAAAACACAAGTACTTGGTGCGGGGGCACCAAGCACGCGGGCATGCGTGCGTAAAAATGAACAAAACGTATTTTAAAAGAGCAGTCAAGCCGGTTACAAGAAGAAATCGGCCAACAAGCCGCGAACGCGATCCTTGCGATTCACTACTATAACGTTACATTATGTATTTCAAGATTTTCTCATTTTTGAAAGCGATATTCTTTAATTTAAAAAAAAAAAAAAAAATAACGTAGATCTACATACACATGCAATAACATCGATAAATAAAACGTAATTTAAACGTTGAAATGATTAGCATTGTTTAGGTTGGCAATATACGTATACTGTGGTAGTCAAGTATGGAGCCAAAGTTCGTACTTTTTTGATAGTATTTGAAATAATCTGATCTGGAATCGGGAAAATGTACTTTTAAAAATATACAATCGTAATTAGTAACGTGTAAGAAAAGAAAAAAGAAAACTGTAGAATAAAAGTCGCGAGTAATATTTATTTATTATTTCCGTTGTTATGAGGTCAGGAGCCAGTTAATCGGCCTCTCGCGTCATTCAAAACGTCGGAGATTAAACAATAAACGTTGCTAATAATGTTCTTCCCGGCCATAACCGTTAATCAGTCGTGTCAATTTCCTTTCTTCATTAGCATGATAATAGCATTTCTTTGAAACGCAGTCCTGCAGCCGCTGGAGCTTTCTGGAGCTTTCGTCTCCCCTATGTATAACGCGAATTATCAGAAATTTTTCAGATTGATTATCACACGCACGTGTTTCGCTCTAACCACGATGCACATTGTTCCTCCAATGTGATTCTAAATCGTGAATTTAGAGCGATGTATATCGTACTAGTGAGATATCGTATAAGTGAGATAATAACGCCACTTTTAGATAAACTCTTTTCTATGTGACATTCGTCATACGTTTCTAACGAATGTTATCTCATAATTTGTTTGTAAACAGAGTAGTCTGGTTCCCATAGACGATAATATATTACTACGCACTATTATAAGACGCGAAAATAAATGAATTTTATCGAAATTTTCTAACTGCAATAGCATTGCTTATGGCAACCAATTGTGTAATCTCACACGCTTCTGTTACATAAGAAATTGCCAATACACAGCCAAATGTTTTCATTCTCGTGTGGCATCGACCGCGATGCGAATCAATTAATTGCGCACGTTGCATGCTAGCGCTTGCAAGTAGAAGACGATTTGATTTACATTGTTACCCATATTAACATATTAACGATTGCTGATCGTATTATTAGTTTTCCTCGATTAAAGTATTTAAGGGTCAATTGTCAGTCATTCTAAGGAGAAAATTTCCTATATTTATCTTAATTAATAATAGTCATGTTTATCATAATTAACATTTCAAATATTCTGTTCTCGTTTCAACTGCAGAATCTTTATTTTGCTAAAATTCTTGGTCGTGAACCAAGCGATTAAATTATGAATGAGATACTGTGCCATCGCCGATGTAAAAGAAAAAAGTACATTACTCACGTATTTTTTGGACTGGAGAACAGTGCCACTTGGGAGTGGAATGAAATCAAAAGGAGTCGGGCCCTCTTCTTAAGACCCTCTTCGCGACTCGGCTTTTCTTCCAAACGTCACAATCTTCCATATGCTCTTGTCACGTTTTGTCGAAATCGTCAGTAACAGGAAGATCTTCGAGATACAATAAATCTCTTCAAGGCATGTGAATCGAGCACATCGCAGGTATTCCGGTAGACTCTCTCTTCCTGGATTTTGGTTTCTTTCAGTTTCTTCGCGCGGCAATACGAGAAACGAGGCGCAAGGTGTCGAAATTTACACGAGTATGAAAAACGAACGATTTGCACGTGCGTACAAATGGTATCGGCAGTTACGAACGACGAGACGGACCGGAAGATTTTTACATATCGAAAACGACGCAGCGCCGGCGAACCTCTCGAATGTCACGAATTCTGCATAATTCTCTCGTTGCGTGTTACGTTACCGTGACACTTATTGTTTCGTTTCTATAGAAATTAACCAGTTGGAGAGGATGGTCGAATTCCTCTGACGTGGTCTAGTCGCGAATCGCGCGATCCAACCTCCTACCCTTTTCGTCTGCGTCTGAAAGCACCGGCGTGCTGCAGCGTGAGTGTCATAGTGTCATCCGACGGCGTGTCGCGTCGTGTCGTCGACAAGCCGGCGTTCATCCACCACGCGCATGCGCTGATTCAACCTCGTGCGTTTCACGTGATTTCGACGAAACTGCGAATCAGAAATCCTGTAGTCCACGTGTTTCCATTCTTGCGCTGTGCTGGGTGACAGAACCGCTTCGCGGGCCAGAAGTTAAGAAGAGGATAGCGATCTCGGCTATCAGTCAATACCGGTTTTTACCTGAATTTTTATTGCATCTTGCCTGAACTCCCTGGGAATAAAATTTGGAAATATTTTTATGACAACAAAAGATCCAACATAGCTGTCCCGACTTAATACATATGTTGTCCAAACGCATTCGGCGTTTGCTAGCGCTCGATCGGAAAGACAACATATGAGATTTTCGTTTGCAAAGTTTTAAATACAAAGTTTCCAATTACATACGTAGTAAGTATGGTAAGAGAGTTGAAAAGTTTGAAACAACTGTCAGGAAGAAATTAACGGTTGTTGCAGATACCTGAATTTTTTTTATTTGAAATAACCTTCCTTTACGGTCGTTACGAACCTCGTCAGTGAAAAGCTATTTCGTACATACGTTTGATAATCGTTGTTTAAAACATTTTTTAAATGCATCGTATAAAAACGTAGAAAACAACGTATAATTAGATTTTTGTATCAGTTTTAGACTTAGTAATTGTACGATGTGTATATATATATATACATATATACTTTTCGTTTGAATTTGAATTTACAATAAAACCGGGAACTTGTATTGCTAAAAAATGTTTATATCTGTAACGCTTACATTACTTAAAAAAATATACGACAAAAATATGATACATATTAAGGAACTGCTACATCATAGTACGTTCTATTTATTTCTAAATAAGTCTCTATCAGTTTTAAAACTTATTTGATAGTTGGCCGCCATATTTGAACCTCTCTAAGGCATCCTTTTTAATCATAGAAGATTGAATTGTGTTTAAAGATCATAAATCATAGAATAAACTGAACTTATCTGTAAAATCTGTTCGTAAAATAAATAAATTTACAATACCTTAGGATAAGGGTAGATTTAAAAATTACGTGTCCCGATAAAAATATTGGAAAAACTAACACCGTATTTTCCTAGTAACGTAATAGCTCCAATGACGTATAATTTGTAAAAGGGCTATTTAAAATATTGTTAAAGGACAAACTATTTAACAATCGTACGTTATAGAAATGAAACAGAGTTGTTTGTTTTTTTCATCATTGTCTGAAACATGGATAAGCAGACATAAATGAGCTTCCTTGGTAATACGACGCTCTGCCGCATTTCTTCAATGTAAAACTTTCTATTATACTCTAGCTTGCTCCGTTAAATCTATTGTCATAAGCGACGACAAATACAAATGAAAATTTGATACAGCTAAGGACGCGACAAAATGTCAAGAAATTATTACACAAAGAAAAAATAGTGATGTTTTATGTTTCATCGTTATTTTTCTTTCATATATTGCTACTGTTTACGTTAAAATACCGCGTATTATTCTTCCTAATTATGAAATCAGTAGTAAGGCAAAATAGAAAACGAAGAGAAAGTATAAAATCGGATGTAACAGTAAAACGATTTTTTTTTTTTTCTTTCTTAGAATCAGTCTATCTTCTTACAGTCAAAGCATAGTAATTGAATACGTTCGTCGACTGTTGAATACAGTAAATACAAGGACAGAATTTTTTTTTCAAGTGTTAGTTACAATAATTGGTTACTTCGTGTCTTCGTATTGGAGCGCAGAATTAACAAATGTTGATTTGTTGTATCAGTTTCTTGAGCACTTATTTAACGAACACATATTCAATATATACACCCATAAATAAAAACCGTCACCTAAATAATTATTAAGAACCTGTCCGAATACCATAAAAACATTTGCTTTCTTGTACTTCACATTCATACAATTGTAAATTCACATTTCTTTTTTTTTTTTTTATTTTATTTTCATTAGTAATCAGAGATGTGGTCTCCATATTAAAACGCATATCCATACGTCGTGAATTAATTGAAGCAAGATTATCCCTATTATCTAAAGAGATCACTTTAACGATTTCAATAAATAATAATAAGAATAGTTTTCTTTTTATAGAACATTGAGTTCATTTTGTTTGATATTCTTTTTTTTTTTTTTTGTTTATAATAGAATAAAATATACAAATTCGTGGTATATTAATTAGTTCGTACGATTGACATTAAAATATTTGTCAATTTTTTTTTACTTTTAATTTTAATGTTCGTACGACTGTACGTAGACGTACAAGGAAAGAGTGGCTTCGTTGTGTAATTTAACAAATGAAAATATGTATCTGCGACAAAAAAAATTGAATGAGAAAGTATTTATAACACACATTGTTCATTACCTGAGAAAAAAAATCCAAACTTATATAGAAGAGTAATAAAAACACGATAAACGAATGTAATCGATGTGTATCGTAGAAAAGAAGAAATGTACGTACAATAAAGTGTATATTTATGTACAGTATTCGAAATTGCTACGAGCTTATAGGAACCCTGTTGATAATGTCGACAACACGAATGAATATATTCCATGTCCGAAATATCAACCGAATATATAAAATACTCACATACGTATGTACATGTTAAAGGTAAAGTCCAAATCTTTAGTTTCGCGCGAGAGTCTGAATTGAATTTTATATGATAAAACGAAGATTTCTGTGCGAACAATATGAATACTAAATATAATACCATTCGTTGTATTAATCAATTTAATTAATCTATCATGAACGGAATCATTTGTGAGATTTGACTCGATCAATTTGTTTTTATGTTAGGAAGATGTACTTCTTTATAAAACAGTCAATGATAAATTGACTATTTTGCGAATTGTGCTCATAATTATATTATGTAAACTTACAATATATTTATTTACAAATTAAATATTCGCTCGTCGTTATTTACAAATTAAATATCCATTCATGGACTTTACCCATAATGCATGTAATTGCTTTAACGAGCACAATTATTTAATTTGAAATTGACAAAGATGTAGAAATACTATGCCTTTTTTTCATGAAACTTATACGATTCTTTTTTTTTTTTTAAATATTTTATATCACACTGCAATCAACCGACAATTAGATGCGATGGTTCAAACATTGTTTCGTACGTATGAATATAAAGATAAACACGTTCATCGACACCTAAATTTACATAAAAAATGATGCTGGTCTCCGATATACTCTAATCCATACTGATATATGTACACTGCAGTCAATATACATCAATAATCAGGCATGTATATGATTGCGCGGTCTAATCAGACCAGTATATTATCACAAAATAAATGCTAAAAATTAAATGTCCTATCAATTGTCTTCTTCTTTTTCAACGTTGAACGAATAGATTCGATATATATATATATATATATATATACATACATACATATATATATATATATATATATATATATATATATATATATATATATATATATATATATATATATATACATACATATATATATATATATATATATATATATATATATATATATACATATATATATATATATATATATATTTACTTATGTATCGATAAAATTCACCTATCACTGTATTGTAGATTCATTCGAATGACCTTTTCTACTTCAGCTAAAGAAGATAAAAAATGGAAGAATTGATTCCAAAATGAAATCGTAATTTGTTTTAACCAGATTCAAGACAAAGTGTTACACGTTCGAGGTCTCTGGCAACAACAAAGACTTCGCAACCTTGCCGCTGGGCTAGACTCTTCTGATCACCGTTCTTCGACACTTTCATTTCCACCACTTTCTTGCTGAGGTCTCGCAATTTGGTACGTGATAAGGTATTCCGGATATGCTTGTTCGCCTCTATAGACAACATATTCGGGAAAAGCTAAACCACCTTGAGACGGTCTACCCATTACACTGTGGTGTCCTGGTGGTGCGTGAGCCATTTTCATCGCGGAGAATTGCAAAAACGATTTTCCCAGTGTGACACGACAGAGTAATAAATGTCTGCAAGTGACGTATATAATATTTAAAGAACAAATACAATTTAACAATAGTTTCAAATTCAAAACTCATTCGTTTTTATACGCTTACCTGTGACAGATGTAACAACTTCGATCTTTATGAGCAGGACAACCAGTACCTCCGCATATTCCATACACGTACTGATTACTTTTACTACTGTGCTCGGCAAAATAAATTCCAGCGCCGAACATACCACCAATATACGCGTGTCGTTCATCAAAACCCTTCTGGACGATGGCGTTAATAAATGGACTACCATGAAATAACATCCTCTCGTTCGCCTGTGGCAAACTCGATCCAGGAGTGGTCCTAGACCCGGTACTCGGAGAGGAAGGCGCTGCTGCACCAACTTCCTCGGCAACTTCTTGCCTTCTATGCGCGTAACGTTCCCATAATTTACGGTTTTGCACTTTTTGTATCTATTTTAGAAAATCGTAAATAGGTTGTTAGAGCTGTTAGTTGTGGTTCGAACAGTTATTTTATAATGCTGTATATAACAAACCTACCCTAACTATATTGTATCGAGAAAATATTCCACCAGAATGACCATTATCTCTATGCTGTCTAATGGTGCTTTGCATTTCTTCTTCGACAGCTAGAAATTCTTTATCCTCTGCTAATAAGTCTACTAGTAACGTTCCTGGTGTAATAGTCGGTTGCCACGGGGTACCGGCAGTTGTATTTAAAAGCTTTTCCATGCCTTTAATTAATTTGTGTCTATAGCCATACGCAGATACTCCCACTTGTTTCAAATCTTCGTGACCCATCTCCGCTAATATATCTAACGTAATTTGTTCGCGTTCGAACAACTCTAATAAATGTTCTAAACCAAGGCTCTGAAGAAAACCAGCTACAGTCGTGATGTTTGAATCTTTAGAATCTTTGGAATCTCTTTCAGAACACGTCTCAGATGGCGGCATTGGACTTAAGCAAGAAGATGGTCTGGCAAGTGGTACACACAAAGTCATGGCTGTTCCAGAAGGCATAATGACAGTTTCTTGAGTAAGTGGCGGAGGTGGCGTAACTGGAACTGAACAATTTTCGATTATACGTATATAGAAAAATACAAATATATTTGTAATTGCACATACATCATAGAAATACATTTACCCGCAACGATACTGGGTGGCCTACTGTTAATAGTATTATTACCATTACTATTTAAGTTAATGGCAACTCCGACGCCAGTATTACCAGATGGTATCGACGGTACTACTTGCTGTGAAGCCATAGCATCTTGCAATAAGCATCTTACATCGTCAGCGCAAGCTAGATCCAGAGGAGTTTGTCCTTCTTGGTTTTTCGAGAAAGGATCTGCACCGTGAGCCAATAAAAGGGCACATAGCTGTGTCCTACCTTTCTGTGCTGCCTCGTGAAGTGGTGTAAAGCCCCATTTGTCAGTAGCGTTTACTACGGTATTATATTTGATGAGTAATGCAGCGATATCTAAATGACCGTAACTCGAAGCATTGTGCAAAGGTATCAATCCTCCTTTATCCTGAGCATTTACATCTGCTCCACGTTCAAGCAAAAATTCGGCTACTTCCAAATTATTGTATCCCGCTATATTAAGATATTAGCGTGTTAGATTATGTAAACCAATGAAAGAGAACAATTAAGAGACTTACCGGCCAAGTGTAATGGAGTACTATTACGACCTTGTGCATCCCTACAATTAATATTGTCTTGTGTAACGAGTCGTTGTACTCTCGCTAAATTCCCTTTCTTTGCTGCATCTAAAAGCGCACTGTTCCCTCGTAATAAATCGGCTACATCTTGATCGCCGTCTCTTACTAAATCTAAAGGTGTTGCTCCGTCTCTGTTCTTCTTAGTGGCATCTGCACCGTGTCTCAGTAATAGGCGAACTATTTCGTACTTTCCCTTAGCAGCAGCTTCGTGAAGTGGAGTAAATTTCCATAAATCCGCAACGTTCACTGATGCACCATGTTTTACTAACAATTCCGTTACTTCATAATGACCATAAGAGCAGGCATTGTGTAAAGGAACGAGTCCACTAAATATATAAAATTAAACATATTCTTTAATTACTGTATTTAAATTATTCTAGGTAATAAACTGTATAACAAACTACTAACCCTTTATCTTTGGCATGTACATCTGCTCCATGTGCCAATAAATATTCGACTACAGGCACTCTATTGAATCCCGCTGCAAAATGCAGCGGTGTGGAATGCCGGCCATCCAAATCTCGACAATTAACAGCCAATGGATTTGTTCGTAAAATCCTTTCTACTGCCGCTAAATCGCCAGATTTACTCGCTTCTAATAGTTGCGCTTCCGCGTCATCTGTTCCGCTCGGTGGATCTGTAAAACAAAAATGAGAACAGAAACATTCTTCGATTGAAAAGGTATTTGGTATCTGTAGTGAATTAGTTCCGAACCTTGTAATATTTTAAGGACATTTTCTGCAGCTACTTGTGCTGCAGTATAGCCCTGAAGTGATACTATAGATGGATCAACATTGTATGATAACAATATTCTGCAAGCTTGCACATTGTCTTCTCTAACACACCTGTTTATGCAACAATATTCTTTTTAAGTAAGGGAATCACATATTTTCTCATCGTGAAATAAAAAAAAATAAAAACAACTTTGTATGTTCTAGACAATTCACGGTACCTGTGTAGTGCAGTTTGCCCTAATCCATCTAAAGCATTGACTTTTGCATTATGTCTAAGTAGCACATCCATTGCATCATAATGAGAATGATCAGTAGCAACATGAAGAGGTGTAAGAAAGTCTTTATTTTTCTCATTTAAGGCAGCATTTTTCCTAATTAAAGATTCTATTACTTGTTTTCTCTTGGGATAGGGAGATGCAACGGCACAGTGCAGTGGTGTATCCCCAGTGTATGGGTGTTTAAAGTTAACAACTTCTTGGGACAGGTACTTTTTTAATTTAGTAAGATCTGCCTGCCTGCAGGCATCCAAGAGGCAGTGTCCCTTGTATTCGTCTACAATTAAAGTGTATCTAACAAAATCATGTTCTGTGTGCTTTTCTAGAAGAGTACTATCGACATAGGAAACGTACATGTCAATCTTTCTTGTAACTCCAATGTCGGGGCTACGTCAATGGCGCTTTTACTGTGGCAGTTTAACTGAGTCGGATCGGCACCCTCGCTTAAAAGTAACGAGCACACCTCGACTCTGGATTTGCTAGCAGCTTCGTGTAGTGGAGTAAATGCCCACAAATCGCTGGCATTAACCGCTGCACCGTGCTTGAGAAGCGCCTCGGTCACTTCGAAGTGACCATACGAACAAGCATTGTGAAGTGGAACAAGACCTCTGCAACACAATCATTGGAAATCAATTATTTCAAATGCTAATTTTTAACAACTGCATTTACAGATGATGTTAAGAGTTAAAGAAATTCACCCTTTATCCTTTGCATGCACATCTGCACCATTTTGTAACAAAATTTGCACCAGTCTTGACCTATTGTATCCAGCAGCTAAATGCAGTGGAGTGGATCTTCTGCCATCACTTGCATGGCAGTTTACATTTAAGGGATTCAGAAGTTGTAAAAGACGTTCCTCATTTCCAGATCTTGCCGCTTCTAACAATTCATCCTTTTTATATTCTCCTGTTAATACTGGTTTAGTCGCAGGATCTGCCAATTCTAATGCTGTTTTTCCTTCTGTATTTCTTATATTAGCATCTGCTCCATGTTGTAGCAGAGCAATACACACATCTATTTTACCCTGTTAGAATAATTATTACATTAAATTCACTTAAAATATCTTGAAATTAAATGAAAATTGTTAAGTTAAGTTAAATCATACTTTAATTGCAGCTTCATGTAAAGGAGTATAATTCCAGTTGTCTCTAGTGTTTGGATTAGCTCCTGCTTCTAAGAGAAGTCTTACAACATCACAATGTCCAAAGGAGCAAGCGTTATGCAAGGGATGTAGACCTCCATCATCACGTGCTTGAATGGATGCTCCAGCAGATAGTAAGAATTCCACTACTTCTATTCTACCATAACCTGCACATTGGAAATAAAAAATGCGCATGAGAAACATGATGTTAATAACAATAGTTATCTTTTTCCTCTGTCGTTATAAATATATTTGACTTCACAAAAGATCATTATTCAAATTAATAAAATTTGATAACAGATCGCAAGTTAAGTGTTCCAATTACTTTATATTCACAACAGAATTCTACGTTTCCAAGCGCTGTGACAAGGTAAAGTTTAAATTATATATCGGATGTTATCAACGTGGAAAGATAAGAAACCCCGGTGTAAAAGTTATGCTTTTCTGTTGCAAAATACGGAAGATATGAATTTATATCTGGCAATAATTACTCCGGTTCTTCCATGCCGAGAGGCACGCTACACTTTCGTTATGAATGAAACTCGATTTTAAATGATAATTATTCGAACGATAAAATGACAACATTGAAAGCCAAGTATTCGAATTATTCCGAGTTTGCGACGTGACAACGGAACTCCTACGGTTTCAATCGTAGGCTACAGCTCGAGGAAAACAGCAAATTACGTAGCGAATTTTATTAACGCGAGAGAATGAAGAAAGCTGGTGCAAAAATAATGCTTACCAGCTGCAAAATGCAGGGGGGTGGACTTGCGTCCGGCAGTGTCTCGAGCATTGACCGTCTTCGGTGTAACCAACGCCTTCACCCTCGCGAGGTCTCCGGTCTTACATGCTTCGAACAATTCCCTCAGAGGATCGGTGTTTCCAGATCCCGACAGGGAATCGGCATTTGTCAACGTCGATCTACGTCCTGCCATTTTACACCGCCATTTTCACGCCACTGTCCGCGACAGATACACCTCACTGTGTGTGGCTCATAGTGTTGAAAGCTTTCACGACGACACCGAGATGAGTTGCTATGGTACAATCTAGTGGCGCCGCCTTACATCCAGAAGTGTCATTTTTTAAAAGTCCCATGGTATTATGGTACGAAATAATTTTACTTGGATACAAGGAAGAGCCTCGAGTGTTCTGAATGTAACATCTGAGAGATACTTCGATAATGCATTATGAAATTGAACATGTTTTGTCCATAATGATGTATTTCTGAAGCTGCTTGCAATGTTTAAAAATGTAATATTTCTCCTTTGTATATTTTATTGTTGTAGTAGTAACTGTATAAGAGCTTGAATAATATAGTCTTGAGTTTTGTCTTTTCTTTATGTAAAGTAGAAAAATGGTTGGTTTTTAGAATGGAGACATAGTAATTATTTTATAAAGTTGTGTATTTTTTAATGAAAATGTTACAGCTCAAATGTATGTAACTTAATTTTATAAAAGAGAAAGAATTTGTTTATTGTTGAATAATTGAGCAATACTTTTCTTGTGTCACTTTCCTGATAAGCTAACTGACAATATGTGTATATATAAGAATTCATATTTTGTATATAAATATTTTTTTTTTATATGTCCTTTGAGTAGTCTTGTGTATATTTAATCTGTTATAACAATCAGTACATCATAAAGTAATGTAATTAAGTGTAATGTAATATTGTAAGGAAATATTACAACATGATTAATGAATCATTCTATAAAAATGTGTTTTTACTTATGCAAATTGTACCTGCATCTTATGAATGTACAAAATACTTTAAAAAGGTATTATGATTGAAATAAAACCAATTTATTAGCTCTATTACTAGTATAATATGATTTGCAGGGAATGTTTGATAAACCAAACACTGCAGGTTTTATTCACGTTTCTCATTATCTGTTATCTGTGCATAATGAAAAACGTTTCCAAAAATTGGTTATATGGCCAATTCTAAATAAGACAGATGAGAAAAGATACCGTGCAGAGATAAAAGAATACTTAGAAACTTTGGCAAATAAAAATTCAGATATCAATTTCCCACCAATACTTATGTCTCATCTGCTACAAGCAGGAGGAAAAAAAGTTTTAATTCTTATGTGGAAAATATCAGAAATTAGCCTAAGAGCTTATATTACTAGAGCATGTAAATTAAATTTTTTTTCTTAAAACGAATTATGTAATGTTCATGTAATGATCATGTAATGTTTGGTAATACATTAGTAATTAATTTTTTGTAGGTCAAACGAAATTATTACAGTTTCCTAATATTGGTGACACTAAGAACATAACTGAAACATATCTTACATTGAAAAATATTGAAAAAAATCATATCATTTCTATATTTTATGAAAATACAAAAATAAGTTTAAAATCCTTTAAAGAGTACATATGGTAAAATATATTTATATTTTATATTTCAAAAACATTTATTTAATGCACATTTGTGTGTTAAATAAAAACTTAATTTTTTTTAGGTATATATCTGTTGATTTACTAAAAGTACAGACTGCTATCTTTGAAACAAGAAACAATTTAGAGAAGTTAGTGGCTACGTTTCCAGTTAATTCATTAATTGCAAAACGATTAATAGACACAGATGATACTGAAATTATAAATTGTTTGTATTTGATATAATAACATTTTGTACTGATAACAATTCAATTTTAAAACTAAATTATATATCTGAATTTATAAATATTTGCAGCATGGAAGGAAAGTATTGAGCAAAATATTAAGTTTTTAAGCCAAAAAAACTCAAAACTAAATAAATTAAAAACTCTTAGTAGCACGTTACATAATTTAATTCTAGTTTTATGTGTAAATCATAAAATTCTTGATGGGAGAAATCTTCCAAAAATAAATAGTAGAACATGGTCATTCTATTTAACTGGTAATATTCAGGTAAAATGTAAAAATTACATTCAGGTAAAATATAAAAATTAAGATATATCATATTACGATAAAAAATCATGTAAATAATTTGTAATTTAATTTAAAGCTTGTTAATGATGGATTATATATGAATGGATGTTTAGTGTTTTCTATTCTGTTAATGAAATTCAATCAAATACTGAAACAAATGAAATACTATTTGAAAATTCACAAGCTACCAGATTTCTCCAATTGCGATCAAAAAATAATTCAATATTGTAAGAGAATTAAATCTATAAAAGAAATATCTGAAGAACTTATGGAACAAATTTCTGATAATTTAAACAATGTACAATGTAGCTTACAAAAGAAAACTGTAGATTACACATTAGATGAAGATCTGTTAAACTTTACAGGTCTAGAAACAATTCTAAATTCACCAAAACTTAATTTATCTGCTACATATATACACGAAGAAAAGATATCAGAAATGATATTGGTCTTTTCAGAAGAAGGTTATACTATTTTCCACTGGATCAGTAAGAAACCTTTTAACTTTATTTATTTTTATTTCTAAATTATTTTTAGGGAGATATAAACACTTGTTTAAAAGGTACAAACGTAACAATTCATTTAGAAATTCAACAAGATATCAATTTAATGATAGCATAGAGGACATCACATCGAGCTGGATATCTTCCCAAAAACAATTAATATACAAAAAGTGTTCACCTAATAAAATCAAAGTTTCACCAACATATTCCAGATTATTCTCCATTAATAATACAAAGATATATTCTCCATATAAAGGTTTGTAACAATGTCCTCAAAAAAAAGCTGTTAGTAACTAAGCACAAAAGCTTACTATTTTTTAAGGTAATACAACATCTAGTCCGAATAGAAGAAATATCACACCAAAGAAATCTAATATTCAATCTCCAGACGCACGAACGGTAAATATAGATGCTGCAATTAAAAATATTTTTGATTTTTTTTGTCAGATTACATATCTTGTAATTTCCTTTGTTCAAATCTTAGTTGAAGGTCCCACATTAGAAGGATGTCATGCAATTTGATAAAAATTAAACTCCAACGTAATTGAAAACAATGTATTTGTTGCATAATATATGTACACTGTTAAATTAAATTAATAAAAATTCTATTTTCGTAACAGTTTGCTTTCCTTACATGTTTCTTGGTTAATAACAATTCCAACACTGCCTAGAATACCTAAGATAAGAATACAATTTCTGTCTATTACAAGGTATATATTAATCTCTATAGATTTCCTTTTTTAGATAGATTCGTGTAACCCTGTATGCATATGTAAAAAGATAACCAAGTGGTGTACGCGACATGCCAAGTGGCAAAAGAAAAACGTGATTGGTTAAATTCTATTCATTCATCTAAATTTTTTTATCGGTGTATATCGTGTAGTGTAGCTACCTCACTTTAAATGCAATTGTTTTTTGTTTTTTATACAGCACTTATCGTATTTTTTATCAATTTTTCACCTCGAATGCCATTCATAAAAATATTTTAGGTTAGGTTAGGATTCGTTCGTACGTAATTTTGTTTATACAAACTTATTTTATAAAAGACTGTGACTGTTTAAGGATATCGTTGTCGTTTTTTCTTTTTATTAATACAATGTTAACCTGCAAAGCTCACGGTTGTCTTTCAAATGAAAGCACGAAAATCGACGGAAAAGATATTTCACTCTTTTGTTTTCCTAAAGAAGCAGAGTGAGTTATAATATGTTTATAATTTGGGTGTGACCCAGTAATTTGTATTAATATTTATGTCCATTATTTAATGCTTTTAGCCGAAGGAACGAATGGATCAAAAATTGCCAAATAAGTGAAAATATTGAAAATGATAAGCCATTTTACCTCTGCGAATTGCACTTTGATAAATCATGTTTTACTGATTCAAAGGAGCTAATTCCTAATGCTGCCCCAACTATTTTTAACAAAGTGGAAGGTGCAAAAATAGTGCAATTTTTTAATTCAAATTCAATAGATTTCAATAGATTTCAAATACTAAATAATAAAAATATTTTTCATTAATAGAAGAAAACCAAAGAAAACGTAAAGCTGAAGATGTGCTTCAAACTGAATCATTGGCAACACCAGTGAAGCAGAAAAGATTGGATAGCGATTCTCATAGTCTGGTGGTTTCATTGCAAAGTCCTTGTACTCAATTAGTAGAAAATGTAAATAATTTTATTATCTTCTGAAATTTCATTTATTTTTGTTAAGCGTATATTAAAGAAACATGATATTTCAGGTTGATAAAATTTATGGAGAAGATAAAATGGATATATCTGATCATGAAACATCATTGAACGAATCTGCTAATAATATAAAACATGAATCTCAAAAAGTGATAACAGGAAAGAAGTTATATCGTTTAACGATACAAGTAGACAAAATATATGGGAAGCCATGCCCAAGGTCAAAGAAACTCCAGTTGCTAACCCAACTAATAGAAAGAAATCAACAATTCTTAGATAATACGAATAATACAGGTCAAAGCAACCAGTCTTTAGAAAAAATTAATAGAAAAGCAATTTGTGCAAAAGGTGGATGTAAGTTAAAGAAGTCGATTTATGATTCAAAACCAGCATTTCAGTGCGAATACTGCGATAAATATTACATAATGAAGAAAAGTGATAATCAAGATGAGAAAAATATTTGTACTATATGTCACAAGAATTTTTCATCTTCGCAATCTCTCTGTCTTCATACTAAAACTCATTTCATATGTGATATGTGCCAAACTGAATGTAGTTCGCAAATGACTTATGATAAACACATAAGATTACACGTCAGTACCGATCCATTGCATCCGTATAAGTGTCATCAGTGTACAGAAACGTTTGAGCTTAAAGAAGATGTAAGACAGCACTATCTAATCGTCCATCCTACTATAAAATTGCAAAATACGGTTCTCCAAGTAACTGCGCCATCTCTGACGCAACAAGTCTCACCCCGACAAGATTATCGGTGTGTTAGTTGTAACATTACATTTAGAAATGAACAAGCCTACAGGTAGTATCTCTGATCATAAAAGTATATCAGTAAAATACTATATTTTTTTATAAATTCTAATGCGAGAATATTTTAATAGAAATCATACGAATTCTCACAAAAAGAAAGAAGGACTGAGATGCAGCATTGGTGAGAGTACCAACAATATATTTCCGATGCCTAGTTCGTTAACTGGTAGCCAAATAGGTATTCTTCGAGCTGTAAAGTTCAGTTGTAGAGTATGTTCAATGGAGTTCGACAACGTTGGCGAAGTTGACATACATACTAGAACTCATTTGGAGGCAGATGAGGAGAGACGTAAATGCAATATCTGTAAAAGACGCTTTAAAACGAGCAAACACCTCGACGAACACTTAAAGTACCACCCGCCCCGTGAACACTCTTGTCCCGTATGTTCCAAACCTTTTATTAACAGAACTAACTTAGAAATACATTTAAGAACTCACAATTATAGATTACAATTGAAGTAATCTTCAATCTAATGTAGTTTAATTTTGTTTTCTGGCTGTGTTAGAAATCGAGTATTTGTCACATTCACGTATTTTTGCCATATTTATGGAAATATTATATTGGTTTAGATTTCTTGGAAATTTTCGTACAACTGTTTTTATCTAATTGGTATTCACAGTCAATAACGTGGCAGAGTAAAAACATTATGTATGTTTACGAAGGACTAGTAAATGCTTAAGTAGTAACTTCCGTTTCTTTTTTTTCGAATAATCAATTCGATTTTATTTCAGTGGCCGTAACGAATAAACATAGTTAGAACACGGTGACAACTTTTGTTTACAAAAAAAAAAGAAAAAAAAAAATCTTTCGTCTGTAAAGCAGACGAAGCAAGACTACGGATCTCGACAAGTGTAGAAGACGAACGTTATTATCGATGACAGTGAACTCCTCTTGGAATGATCGGAAAGATTGACCGAAAAATGAAAATAATAGCAAGCGGTTTTCTTTGAAGCGGCTCCTTGCGCTCGAGGCTGATGGAACGCGTGATAGAATGATCCTGATCTTTCCAGAAGGTACGTTCAACAGTCATTGGCAATGACGGTGGAACGGCGGAGGAGGAAAAGGGAGAAGGAAAACGAGGGCAAACGAGCCGATCTTGAAAGGGAGCCGACTATCCATAACGGAACAATCGCTTCGATGTTCACGGTTATGCTGTCAACGGGAACCACTTCAAACGTAGCCGGCCTCAATGTGTTTATTTGGCTAACGTCAAATTTACTCGTGGAAAAAGGAGAGCTGCTTGTACCCGGGCTAACACCTTGCTACCTCTCTTCAAACAGCCGCCGCTGTTTTCTTCGCGTCCCGAGCAAAATCGGATCGTTTTGTCGCGCACGATCACCGGCACTTGGGCGTGGCTCGTGTTCCCCTATTGTCAACCTTTGACTTTTCTCCTGTCGTGTACTCGCATATACTGTTCGCTAGTTCCTGGTAATGCAGCTCGCGTCTCTCTTCGTCGAGGAAGTTGTGAATTGTAATTCGCGACAAGAGAGAGATCGTTCGAACGTAGCGAGAATTACGAGTTTTTGTTCGTTGTATCTCGTAGACACTAGTGGCAATTCTTAAAAATGAAGAAATGTCATCTTGTTACTAATTATTATTACTGTTATCTTGCATATCAAATGAGTTGTGAGCAAATCACGTGGATTTTTAAATAAATCAATTGTACGCGAATTAACAATGGAAAAGCGAGCACGAATATATTTTAATTCGTATCAAGGGTAGAGATATATGTTCAAGTATTTAGTAACGCTCTGTCATTGGCATAATACGGGACGACAACCGGCCAGATATCATCGAGATAAAGGAAAGCACTCTATAAATTCGCTATGGTTTTCCACGGTAGCTAAATGGTAAACCGTGCCTGTGTGCACGTCTAGCCAATAGTTCCGTGAAAATTGAGGATGCCGAGCGTTCTCGCGTGACAAATCGCGTGATTTCCCGTGACCGACTAGGATCTTATACGTAGAAAAGAAGGCACGAAATACATTTTAATCTGTTCCTAGCCCAAAATACGTCGAGATATCAAAATACGTTGTATATAGTATTTCGTTGATAAGCATTAGAATCTTCTTTCGCAAAAGAACCGCGAATCTTATTTAACTAATTAATGTCGGAAGGAAAATTTTGTCTCTCGTCTATCACTTTCATTTTAACGGCATTTGAAAATAAGGACTCTCCCAAATATTGCTAACGAATGTACTGAATGAATCAACCTTGGCGAGTTAAAATAGACGCGAAACTCAATCGAGGGGCGTTGCTAAATGTGTGAAAATTTGGAATTCACGGAAGATTATCAAATTCAGAGATTGAAGTCGAGCGATTCTAATTTTACAGAAAATGAAAATAATATCTCTGGCATTAATTTCAGCTTGATCTCGTTCGTAAATTTTCCGCTTCCTCCGCCGCGAAATTCCAAATTATCGGCATGACGATCGATTCGCCGCGTGTTTTCGTGGATTTCCACGCGGTTCTATTTCCCCAAACGTTGTTGAAAGCGATGTCCCGCTGTTAAATTTACACGCCACGTTTCGTTGAGCGAATATTCTTGCTCGGCCATCAAACATGCTAATTCACACTAGCGTCGTGGTGAACGGTATTCACCGTCGGGGGTGCTGTTCCCCGATTATTCAATGGACGTCGTCTATACGGCATCAAAGTGCCGACGTGAAGGCAACGCAGCTGTTCCTCTTCGTTTCTTTTTTTTTTTTTTCTTTTTTTCATTTTTAACAATCACGATGTTTTTTTTCTTTCGCGATCAATAATTAATTCATGTGTTCTTGTAGAAGACATCGCAAGTGCCGAGCACCAAATTTTTCAAGAGGAAGAAAGAAATTATTATTTAATTAAATTTGCAGGTGCTACTTCTGTTTATTCCCAGAAAGTGAAAATATGTCATTTTTATTTTTACTTTAAACATATCATTTTTATTTTTATTTTAAATGTATTATTTTAAGTAGAATGTACACATGTGTCGGAATATAATAATGTATGTATTAGAACATGGTAATTTGGTGATACAATGTTTTTTGTGACTGTATGTATTAGAACATGGTAATTTGGTGAGACTTACAATATTTTCTGTGACTATGTATTAGAACATGGTATTTTGGTGATACTCACAATGTTTTCCCCATTGTCTTTTTTCCAAATTTTGTTATTCGAACAAATGTATTATGAATTCTGAATCACGAGATAAATCTCTTGTACAAAATAAAAGGATAAAATAAAATAGATGGACTTATACACTTTAGGATTTTAAAATTACTATTTCTTTTTTTTTTTTTTCATATATAGTATAATTCTCATAATAATTGAATCGAACTCGTTTTCAATTATTAGAACGATGGATGTAAAATTTTTCAATTTCTAGTTGATTTAATACAATTTCCCAACTAATAAACCTCATGTTATAAGAATTATCAATTCGGAAACTTAATTCAATTTATGCTTTAAAAAATTTTCCAAATATCAAATATATGTTTCTCAGGATGCTTCCTATAATATAAATATTATATCTATATAATTCTATTATTTATATCACAAACTCATATAAGAAAAATGCTGCAACAATTGATATTTTTACCATAGATATTATTTTATTATAGATCTCAATACACACACCGATATTATAGCAAATTTCTTCCCCTTTAATGTGATCGATAATTAATAAAGTCAACTTTCGAAGAAATGTTATTTCATATGCGCCAACCTACAACATTTAATATTAAATTACAGAAAACTAGCAAGTTCGAAATGAGGAGACTACGAGACAACGATAGAAACAAGACTCCAGAAGAATTTACAAGACAGAAATCATATTTATTGCAATATTTTGTGAGTGGAGGAGGCTTACTGTGAAACCGCAGAACGTGCGTACGCGCACGTTTTTAAGATGAAAAATCGTCAAAGACGTCGCACCACGGTTGCAATATGGATGGAGGAGAAGAAAAGTCGTGGAAGAGGGCAAGAATGAAAAGAGGAGACAGGGATGACGGAGTTGCGGGCACGGGCCATCTGGCAGAACGATCTTTTATTATAGGATTCATCTATCCTCTCTCTTCAATGAGGGAGTCACTCGCGTGGAAGTTGCTAGCCCTTTTGATTAATGGCTGACGAGATAAATCGCGACCACGATCAAAGAGGATCGACGGTGAGGCTTCTGGGGACTTGGCGGATATCCGTTGTTTGACTCTGTTACGTGGGAGAAGTCGGCGTGTTGAATAATTACAAATTGAATGATTGGTATTGACAACAACGACAATGTGTTACAGCCGTTTTAGGTTGAGAAAGTCGCGGTTACAGATTGGAGATTATTTGAGATTGGAGAGATGGCAAAATTGTAATATTTAAAGTTGGGAGACTTGCAACACTTAACATTGCAAGGCTTGTGATTGCTATACTCAGAATTTAATTGCTTGTAAGTGTTTCAGATTGAAAGGTTTATAATTGTAACGTTTAAAATTGTAACATTTGAGATTGGGATCTTCACGATTAGGAAGCTTGAAGAATTGTAATAAGATTGGGTGACTTGCAATTGTAACGCTTAACATTGCAAGGCTTGTGATTGCAATACTTGGAACTTAAAACTTGTAATTGCAGTGCTTGAAATTAGAAGATTTGCACTTGCTGAAAATTGCAGTATTTGAGATTAGGAAGCTTGTGATTGCAATACTTGGAATTTAAAACTTGTAATTGCAGTGCTTGAAATTAGAAGATTTGCACTTGCTGAAAATTGCAGTATTTGAGATTAGGAAGCTTGCAAAATTGAAGAGCTTACAATATTTAAAATTGGGAGACTTCCAATTGTAACACTTACCATTGCAAGGCTTATGATTACAATACTTGGAATTTAAAACTTGTAATTGCTTATAACTGCTTGAAATTAGAACATTTGCTGTTACAGCGCTTACAAATTTGAGATTCGGTCACTTACAAAGATTAGAAAGTTTGCAGAACTTTGGCAGACTTGTAATTGTGACACTAAACACTGCAGCATTGCGAAGCGAATTTAAAATACGAGCAAGAATAGAGCATCGATAGAGATTTTTGTACGTGAAATAAGAAAGGAACTGAGAAAGGATCAAGATTAACAAAAATAAGAGAAATCCGGCAGAGAGATCGTGATTTGGCGAGATTCACACGGCAAAGCGTCACGACGTGTGCAATCCTCGGCTCGCTACACGCTTGGTTGCCCTTCACCGAGGGGTGAAGCCCCGTGGCAAGCCCCATAATAGCCCTCGAACCGGTCCCACCCTCCTTAGTGGAACAGAAAAGCTTCGAAAGTGTGCACAACCGCAAAGTCGCCGCCCCTTGCATGGCGGCCCAAAATTTGATTATGTCCCTTCCACGTGAATAAATTCAACGGGATTCACCGTTTGGTAGCCGTCAATGATTTATACCGCCTCTGTCCTTCCTATTCTCTCTCCTTCTTTTGTTCTATGTTCCCTTGCCGGGGCGGCAATTTCTCCCGATGAAAGAGCAAGTACGCGCAACTATCTTGGGACAACGCACTTTTGAATCTTATTGCGATAAATATTTGAGCTCTAATCGCGTTACTGATGGGTCATTTGGGACAGGTAGACTGTTTATTGTATATTTAAGCGTAGAAATTCCGAACGTTGTAACGAAGGTATGTCTCTCAGTAGAATTTGCTCCAGTGATTTAGTAGTCAGCCTAGCTTATTACGACACAGCGAAGTCCAAGCTTTTCTGTGCAGAAAAGTCGATGCGTAACCTTTGATTGAAGTCTTTTCTCGGGACAGGATAAAGATAAAAACTTTTCTGAATAGAAACAAAAAAATCGTGATATTAAGGACTGAAAAAAAGAGACCAAGTGAATTTTTAAAGAAAATGTCGCCAATTTTTCATCGTTATACATATTCTTCACTGTATATGTTTCATTTCATTGTAGCTTTTATAATATTATATATTTTTACATTTATATTATTACATATTCATTGATCTGAAGGTACAAATCTAGAACAAAATAGCACAGATGATCGATGGTCATCGTGGCTGGTCAAAAATTTACTCTCACATTGTTCGACGACGTTCGAATGGATAATCGGTCAATTTTAATCGTTCACGCGCCGTTCACGTCCACCACTCGACCTCAGAAACATGTTTTTTTTCTCCTTTTTTTTTTTTTAGGGGAAAAATTGCAGTTTCGAAAAACTGGGAAAAAATTCCATGCAGATCGATCAGTCACGTGTTTGTGACAGCGGTACAAGTAGATCTGACGAGGCGGTCGTCGCATGATGCAAGTTTTTTTTTCTTTTTACGTTTATCGAGTGATCGACTTTTTCAAACTTATTATTCAATCTAATCGCAAAATCGAATGAAAAAAAATGTATATATACGTTCATTAGGTCAGGTCAGAAAGACGAAATTTCTATTGACTCGAAGCCGAATAATTTCAAAATATAATAAAATAAAAAATGCAAAATAAATGTCTTTTGCTTTTAGTTTTACTATGTATAATGTATAAAATGTGAAAATTAATAGTGGACGGTATAAATATATTGTTTTTAACTGAAAATTTTAGCAAAAATATTCCATAGACCATTAAAAGCCACGAAAAAAATTGTCGTTACAAGAGCTCTTTGTTATGAAGAAAGACGTTACGTACGTGTTTGTAAGAATAATAAAAGTAAGAATTTGCGAGCAAATATGTGTCATGATCGACCGACTCGTGTTGACAAAATTTTTTTTTAGATCTAACTGATCTAACTAGTCAAATCTTCTTAACGAATTTATAAGGATACTGAAAATATAAATAAATATACGTTAGATCGCGGATTTTTACATACAATTTATACGAATTTTTGCAAACTTCAAAACTTGAAAAATGCATAAGATATAAGGTATAAGAAATATAATATAATAAAGTATAATATCTAGTTACAGAGGAATGTCTAGTTATAATATTAGAATTTTAACATTAAAGTCCATTTCCGAGGACTTTAAGGATCAAATAATTTATTATACAATTAAACACAACATAGTACTCTTTTGCAAGTCAAACAATCCCTATGAATGCAATAATAATTTTCTCAGATTCTTCGCATTGTAAAAATGTTGATGTCTCTCGATGGAAATATATTTACAACAAAATACAATTGCCGCGAGATAAGACAGCATCGTTGGAAGAAAAGGGCAAGTTAATCGATCAGAATCAGATCAGAACGGAAGTCGAGGACAAATTTTTCGACAAAATGATTTTGGCGGCCTTCTCGCTCGACTAGAAGTCGTTGTTATGACATTCAGGTTGGAAAATAAGACGGATCGAGGGATTCTTAGGAAATTCGATCCATCAAAATCGCGACAGAACACTCGCGTTTTCTTATGTTAGCGAAAAAGGCCTGGAATATAGAGCATTGGGAGTTTTCCTTTTTTCGAACGCGTTTCTTTGGAATTTGCTTTTGCGCAAAAAAAAAAGAAAAAAGAAAAAAAGAATTTCGAAGCGAAACTAAATCGTACTGTTGTTCAAATTATATCAGATTGCCAAAGCAGCCTCGTTTTCGCTTTTCGTTTTTTATTATTCAGTTTGAACCTCATCGTGACAGGTAAAAATTTTATTAGTTGAAACAACAAATCAATCGTAATTTCATTGTAATTCCATCTAATTATTGTTTCTACGAATTTTGAATTTTATTTTTTCATCCGATCATCAGCCAGAAATATTATTCATGGGATATTGTTTAACGGTAAATAATTACAATTATTAAGAGGAGATTTCTTCTTCTCTGTGAATATAGAGGCGAATTCTGAGAAAAGTATAATAAAATTGTGTCAATTTGAAACTACACAAACGATAGTTGGAAAGAGTTATCTGAAATAGGATATTAAAGTTAAAAGACGCGAAAAAAGTTTGACTCTGGTGTCAGTTAAATATTTACCTATTCGTATGCGTGATTTGTTTTCAAGTACGCTAGTCACAGTAACGTGTAATAATATATATATATATATATATATATATATTCCACTCTACAATCTATCATTTTTGTAAATTATTAATAGAAATATTTAATTGTCTTCCATGAAATAATAATATAATAATACTTAATAATATTTAATTCTCTTCCACGAAATAATAATAATAATAATAATAATATAATAATACAAATTTAATAAGGCCTTCTATTTATTTGATCAAATAAAATTTTTAATTTATTCGCTCTGTTATTTCATCTCAGACGATGTCAATTGCGTATTTGAAAAGTAACTAATTTGTTTAAAATGAAAGTGTCTCTTATTTGACTTTAGGAACATTCCGACGCATAGCTATATCTACTTATATGTACAAAAAATTACTATCTTTTATTTTACATTATTTTGATTATTTGATTATGTATGTAGTAATTAACAAAATATATTTTAGTATTATAATATTTCGTAAATTATTATATGTATAATCAAACATGAGTTTCAAATGATAATACAAAAGAAGAAATACAACAATTTTTTTTGGTATAAATCCGAATGAAGATTCTATGTCACGATAGAAAGAAGACTATTATAATATACTATTATAATATTAGAATACGACAATTATAATATATATTTATATATAATAATAATTGTAAATATTGTAATATAATAATTTATAGAATAATTTACTTTTTAATATTACTATTTATAATAAATAATTTATTTTTCAAATAAGATATTGAAACTCTTCTGCACTCATTTTTATTTCGAAACAGATCTACTTTATTCGAGGCAATCTTTCGCCTGTTCTATCTCAGTGTCGAACTCCATAAACTGGTATTAATTAACCTTAGCTCAGGCTGTCACTTTGACTGAACGCAAGGTAATATAAAAATAACATAACACGGTAACTGTAAAATATTTATATCTTTATTGTTATTGCTCAGGTATCGACTATCGTTCCGGGTAAACAATTTATCGTGCAAATTAATTTTGAAGTAAATATAACGGAAATTTCATAGCTCAACACTATTCGTAGATAAATAATCGCAATGCGAAAATAACGTAGCTCAGTATAACATAATTTTTTACCATTATAATTGATAACTGTTAAACGATAGTACCTAAAAATCAATCAATTTCAAAGTAAATGTAATGAAAACTTCATGAATTCACACGATCGTTCGTACGTCGATAACCGCTACATCAAAAAAAATTCATCATTCGAACTTCCAAAACAACATCATGCTCGTTTCTTTCGTCAGTTTCTCGTGTATGTAAAAATCTCGCAAGCACAGCAATCGATATGTTAACGTACAATCGTGTAAACGTGGTGTAAGCGGAACGATTGGCGGCGAAACGGGCGCGGAAAGTTATCGACGAGCCCCGCAAAAGGGGAGTTCTCGGTATCAGTCACCGAGGGGGGCCAGTTTTGTACGAGTGTCGTTTCGAACAGAAGGGTATCGAAAATTCGACAGGAGCAACAGAGACGGACGAACAGAGTCGGAGGGAAAATTGGCGGCGGGGAGGGTTCGTTGGTCGTTCTAGCGAAGGGAAGCTTAACCTCGAGTGTTACAATAAATCAACGGCGCGCATTCGCGGAGCTCCACCCTCGTACCTTCGGCAGAATGACATCTCACAGAGGACACGGCCGTCACGGCATCGGATCCGAGTGTCCTGTTTCATTGTGTTTTAAAGTGCCTCGTCGCCGGTTCGATCCGATCGGACGTGCAAACAGTTTACCGTTTCGCGTTCGTCGCGCGTACGCGCGATTCAGGGTTCGACGTCGAAGAATAATTTTAGAGGGAGGGAGATCGCGCGAGACGTTGGGAACTTTTAATCTGAAACATTGCGAATCCTCTTGCTCGGAACTTCGAGGTTTCGAAATTCTCAAATTCTTAATTCTTGAATTTTCAGTCACTTCGGTCATTCGANACGTCCAAACTTTCGAATTCTCTTCTTTATTCTCCACTGGACGTCGAGTAATTAGCGATCTTCTGTTTCGAGTGAAATTCAGATTCGACGTTGAATGCCAAAAGGAACGACTTGGGTGGATTTTACGCGTATTTTGTTTCTTTGTCAACAATAGATTGGATTTGTATAGTTTTTCGCCCTCACACTGTGAATGTATTAACACGACGATTGTAAGTGGAAAATTAATCGCGAATATAGAAATATGAAAGTGTAAAAATATAAAAATATAAAAATGTAAAAATATAAAAGTATAAAAGTATAAAAGTATAAAAATATAAAAATATTATTTTTATGTATAATATAACTTAATATATAAAAATATCGTGTAATTTAAAATAAAATGTCATATAATTTAAAATAGAATATAACTTAATGTATAAAAATCGCGATCTGAAAATCGGGAGGCTCGCGCTAGCTAGAGGGCACGCAGGGAGGACCAGTGAGAGGTTTCAACCCCTGTCAGTTCCCCGCGCTCGCGCAATTTCTCTGTCTTTCTTTTTCTTCTTTCACTCCTCCCTAGTCCGAAGAATGAATCGGTGGTCCCCGCCGCTGCGACAAAAGGGGCAAGAGGCTCGCGATTACGCCTACCGGGCTCGAACGAAGGGGCTGCTTGTCATAGCCCTCGACCGGCCCCTTCGAAAACCTACTTCTGACCTTCCCTTCTTCCCTCGTTCTGCCGGCCAGAAACTGACGAGCCACGGTTCCACAGATGAAACGATCCAATCGGAGATCGAGGGTGGGCGCACACCGTTCCTATATAACCATGGGGTGAACTTTGTCGGATTGAGCAGTCTCCTCTTAGACTCAGTCGTGTCTCCAGTAACTTGAATCCGCGTGCGCGCACACACGCGCCGTTTTGTCTCCCGGAGTCCACGTGGGAAGCTCCAAAAAATTTCAACGAGTCTCACGTCGACAGAATTCGTCAGGACAGGACGAACTTCCTCCCACACGATTGGAACAATGTACAACAAAGGCGACGTGAGGCTGTTTCGTCCGTGGAGCGTGTCTGAGCCTGTGAGCGAACCAGAGGATTTTGACGCGGAACATGATGTAGCAAAAAGATTTGAAAGATCTTTCGTCAATCAGGGAAACACGAATTTTCGTAACTCGAACTCTGATTCCAATGACGAAATTATCAGTATCAATAACACTGACAGATCAGCCTCTTCTGTGACTACACACAATGGTCATCGGCAACACAAGCGAGCTAGTAGACAGTCTTCCGTTGAAGCTGGAATAGAAAGATCGAGAGCCACCAAGGACCAAGAGCCTACCTCAGCGAGGAACAGGGATTCGGAGTTGTTTCCTCGTTTAGGAGGCTCGTATCGCTCAATACCTCCGTCCACTTTGAGTATTCCTCTTATCACCGGTTTCGTCGTTGACAACGATGGCTCCGTTGTCCACTCGACGTATCAACAGGACTGTCTTTTGGGACTGAACGTTCCGCAATGTGTCTTTCACTCGTCGATGATGGATCGCGTGTTGAATCGTGTGGCTAGCACGCCCGGTCAGAGTTCAGTAACGTCGATGCCGCACAGTTTGTACACACCGATGGTAATGGAGCAAGCGGTGGAAATGCTGCACCGACAAGACGCGGTCGCGAAGCAATTGAAAAAACAACGGCCGAAGAAGTTCCGGTGCGAGCACTGCGACGTCGCGTTCAGCAATAACGGGCAGCTGAAGGGACACGTCAGAATACACACCGGTGAGTTTCACCTTCTGATACGACTCTTGTCTTCGACAGTGTGTGTGTGTGTGTGTGTGTGTGTGTGTAAACAATCGATCTACGAGCTGACTCGAAACGGGCCGGTATCCGGAATTTTTGAATCTTTCCAAACGGTTCGATTCCGCCGGCCGGAATTTTTGAACTCTCGACCTTTCGACGTTACGAAGGCATTTGGAGTCTCGTTTCTCGACCGTTCTAAATTATCGAGATGTCGATTTACTTGCAACATACCGAGACTTCGAGCGTTTTGCGTCCTCGAACATTGAGTAATTTAATTTACATAAATATTGGATGTCGATTTACTTGCAACATACCGAGACTTCGAGCGTTTTGCGTCCTCGAACATTGAGTAATTTAATTTACATAAATAAATAATTCCAAGGTGGAATTTCGAACACTTTAATTAATTAATTTAACTTATATAAATATTAAATAATTTAATTTGTATAATATTAATTATTAATTATATAATTTACATTATATAGTATTAAATAATTTAATTTGTATAATATTATATAATTTACATTATATAATAACTTACATTATATTCAGCATTTATATAAATTTAATTTATATAAATGCTGAATAATTTAAAGAAAGAATTATTGCAAGAGTACGAATTATTCAGTACAATATTTATTAATATTTATTAAAGTGATATAAATCATTATTAACATTATTATTAATGATATAAATCGCTATTAATATTACTAATATTATACTATTATTATTAATATATATAAATCACTTCATTGATATTCACTAATTCAGTTCAATAAATATTGTATAATTTAAAGAATTACTCTTCTATATTAACGATGCTCGCTAAATTTAATTTAATAAATAACATTTAATTTAATATAACACTGTATAATTTGGAGAATTATTTCACAAGGAAATTATTCTTCAATGAAACGAATCCTTGCGAAACGTATGATAAATAAAAAATTCTCCATTTCGTCACCTTCGAAGGTAAATTATTTTCAAAGGCCAGCACTTAATAATCTTTCGATCTTGAATATTCGTGAATAGAAAATGTCTAAGGCGGAATATTTTTTTCTGTTTACAGGAGAAAGACCGTTCAAGTGTGACTTTGAAGGTTGCGGCAAGACGTTCACGAGGAACGAGGAATTAACCAGGCACAAAAGGATTCATACAGGGATACGCCCGCACGCGTGTTTCGTTTGTGGGAAACGATTCGGTAGGAAGGATCATTTGAAGAAACACATGAGGACGCACGAAAACCGAGATCCTTACAGACTGTCGGCGACCACGCTGGGAATATTCGGTCAACATCCATTTTCACCTTACAACTTTCAAATGTGACACATATGTACATGAAATTTCTAACGACGAAATCGCGATCGATTTTCTATTTTATTTTGAATACATAGCGACTGAGATTATTATTATTTTTTTTCTCTTTTTTAATGAATATTGATCTGAAACTAAAGATTCGTACGCTATACAGAGACTATGTATATAATGATTATTATATATTTATTGCTCTGATTATCAAAATGTCAGAACTCGATGATCATGGCAGTAAATATGTATTGACGTAAAGTAACGTTTGTTATACTAGTTGTTACATTAGATGACATATTAGATAATATATTAGATATAGTTAGATGTTATATTAACGTGAAGTAACGATTGTTGCCTTGATAGAGTGATCCTTCGTTGTTTTTGAAGGGTCGTAAGTGTTAGCAAAGGTTTTCCAGAAAATTTTTCTACCGTATTTTTGATACTATGGCTTTTTATATGAGAATATAACAAATAATAACAATGACGTATTGAATCTAGTCGAATTTAAATGCAATACAAAATTTTCCACAAAAGAAACTCGAATTATTTGTACTATATATTTAAATGAATAAATTGTTATTCCTACTGTTGACAATTCTTGATTTTGTTGTTGTTTCTATCAGATCTTTACCTCACCTTTCCTTCGATCAGTTTGATTTGTAATAATTTAATGAATATTCAAGTGACAGCGAAGAGATTTTCAATTGATTTTAATACTTCAATTTTAAGAAAGATCCACACCTAAAACTTGGAT